ACTTGGCGCTTTCCCGTTTTTTAGATTTATAGAACGAGACATTTCGGGGAAATCGGAACCTCCGACCTTTGGCTAAATCGGCTTCGGCCGTTAATTGTTTTCGATATCGATCGATCATTGGCGTCCAACCAGAAAAAAAGATAGCCATTGAAAAATAAACATAATCTACAACGAACAATTCAATTAGAATGACTAGGTGTATATCGGCTAATTTCAATCTCATCAGACTAATTTTAACCCAATGCCCGGTGGCGATTGATATCTCAATGCGATTCCATTTTTTTAACTCGATCTTCTTTTTTGGTAGAATTGAACTTAGTCAAACGGATGCAAACGTAAATCTGGATTACGACTCGAGTAGTAGTTGGCAAACATTTGTTATTGGCATATACTTGCATGCTGTGTGAGTGGTTTACTTGTGCAATCATTTCTCACTCGTCGCGCCGCGTGAGCGCTAAACTTGTTGATTACAAATGAAAAAAAAATATTTACAAAGATGGTATACTTGCCAAGTACGCAAAAGCCGGACTATGAACGACTCGTGTACTTGGCAAATAATTGTGATCGGCATACAGGGTCCGGCAATAGTGCATAGTAGTTTCTGTAATAAATAACTTTGTAAAAATTTTGTACGCAGTAGGCTGGACCCTGTATGCTAATAACAAATGTTTGCCAAGTACACGAGTCGTCTGAGAGTGTCTCCCTTAATATTATACACAATAGATACACAATAGATAGAATCGATTTAAAATAACATTTCGAAACCAACTTCCTAACCTTTTTCATTGTCGTTTGTTTTAATTTGTGTTGACCAAAAATCTAGTTTTTATGTTGTCTTTTTTATTTAAAATGGGGAACATTCAAAACTTAAACACTCAAATCTCAAAAAATATTAAAAAACTCCCAAATATCTTTTTTTCTTATTATTAGAAATTATATTATCTTTATTAGAAAAATGGCAATAGATACAGAATTGAACAAAAGGTGTTTCAAGTCGATCGATGGAATGAATCGGATTACAAGTTACCGATATACACGTAGTCAATGACTCCTGGTAATATTAACAAAATGATTTTGGCATATACATACATTCTTATCTAATACTTTCGCACCATTTCCCAAAAGATTTACAAAACCAATTTTATCGCAGGAAGTGTCTAATTTCGGAACAACACTTTACGTGACTTTACCACGATTTATAAACACGCGTTATAAAACATTTAGTACATACATCGAAAACGTTAAAAAATTAATCGATTAAAACAATCATCGAACTAGAAAAAATGAGATAAACCGTTGAAATTTCCAACGGACTTTAATGAGTTACTGCTTGTTTGTTGTAATAAATAAATAACCGTTCTAACATTTCGTTTATATACAAAAGCCTGCGCTTAAAATAATCCAGAGGCGAGGTGAAACGTTAATTCCGACTGGAATAATTTATCGGGTTAATTATCTTAACAAAAAACACAACATAAATTATATCGGGGAGATTCATTTCACTGCTTCTTTATTATGTGTTGTGAATTACGATTTTTTAGATTTACGTAAAATACACATGCCAATTAAATTAATAAATTAGGATTGGCTCCATGTAACCAAATTGTAAATATTTTCAAATTAAAACAATAAGTTTAACATCACATGATCATAAGAAAATATTCCTAAAATTCAGCTTTTTATTTACATGTAATTGCAATAAAACTCAAAAGTGGGCAAAATCTACCACAAAAAGCACAATAAAATCATTCAAATACAGCTGCATTACATTATAGTTTCAGTTAAATCCACTGTACAAACCATAAGATAATTCTAAAAATAAATTTTGAAAATTTTGTATATTCGATTTTTTTTACATTTTCGTTAATTTTGAATTAAGCAATATAGTTTCTTGATAATATCGCAACATAGACAGTAGATTAAATTTAGAAAAACTAAAATACACAAAACATCCAGTAGTTTTCAAAATATAAGAATAAAAAACATTTATTTATTAATTATAAACATTATTATTTAAGTAAAATAACTTGGCTATTGTGAATATAATTATTTGAAAAAAAGTGCAAGAAGAATGTATTTCTTTTATCGAGATTTGCCAACCCTGAAAATATGTGCACTTATTTAAGATTTACCCATTATTACACCGTTGTCTTCAAAGTTTGGTAAATAAATAATACAAGGCAGTCAATAAAAATAACTGAGTATAAAAGTTTTTATAATTTAATATCACTGAAATAGGCGTCCTTTATGGTGTAGAAAGAACTCTACATATATATTTCTCAGTGTACATTAAAAGAGGTTTGCTTGTCACAACTCAGGGTTTATTAATTTTGATTATGTATATTTAAAAAAATATAATCAAAATTAATAGGTTTAAAAAAAGTTGAAAATGAAGTTTAAAAGTACATTTTCAGCTTTAGATTAACCTTTTTTATGATTTTTTTTATTTAAATTAAACCTTATATTTTTGAAGTATTGTTCCACATCAAAGGGGGTTGCTCCAGAAAATTTAAGATTGTATTTTTTTTAAATAGCCATAATAATTATTGGTTTGAAAATGTTTTTTTCGAGCTACGTTTAATGGAAATACCTTTTCGTTTTGTCGAATCGATGCGGGGATGAAGCGACGAGCGCGACGATGGTCCAAAAGCACGCATTTGCGTTTCTGAGCCGCGATTACGAGCGCATCGCGACGGTCGGCGATCGACTGGGATGCCCGGGAGCGGGATGGCAAACGCAACGGGAACGGAGGGGGAGGCAACGGGGAGAAGAATCCGTTCGCGGAATTACAGGAACATCCCCCTGGTTTAGACACGGGCGGGAGATAAATCTAACGCCTACGGTAACAATTTTTTTATCTGAGGTTTCCATGTAGTTAAAAAATATGTTGGCTTCTTCTTTTTTCGCGAAAACTTCATTTATTTTGAGTGAAATATAAGTATCAAATTTGTATTGAAAGTAACGCAGGTTTATTTCAATAAGCAACTGAAAAGTAAAGACACCTTTTTTCCATTGCACAAAAATTCACTATAGTATGTTTAGCAAGAAATTATTCAGAATTTACGACCGAGAAAAATCAACGATTTTCCTTGATTTAAATAAGAATAATCTTCGGATTGTTACGGGGTTTTTAACCAGACACTGTCTCTGCAACGAACACCTCAGTAGATTGAAGCTAAGAACCAACAAGTACCTATTACATGTGTCTAGTTTTAATTGATAGTCTATGAATACTACTTGCGCTCACAACAGTGATAAGAAGTACTACTACAGGGTGATCTAGGAGGACGTGTTTAACCGAACCGAGTGTTGTTTTTCAACATTATTGTTATAATTTGAACAATTCACACAATATCTTCATAAATTATAGCCTATGTGTTATTCTGATGTATAAGCTATATTATGGTAAAGTTTCATTAAAATCGATTCAGGAGTTTGTGCGTGAAAGAGTAAGAAACATCCATACATCCAAACAAACTTTCGCGTTTATAATATATGCATATCAGATTCCACATGCCCAGCAAAAAAAAATACCAACAATACAGGATTTAATTCAATAACAAAATGTTTATGTAACTAGATATTCAGTCAGTAAAATTAAACTAACAAAACTGATTATTTAATAAATCCACTTTTAAATTAAAATAATAGACAACACAGTCAGTTGTCATTGTCATATATTATTTCGCTGGACAGACTAGTAAAAAATATACCAATTCAATTTTTTAAGTAGCTAATAAACAAAATAAATAGAAAGTATAAAAACACCCAACTTTTCGAAAGGTTATAGATATTTCCAAACATAGAAAATCTAACAAAATATAAATAAATTTTTAAATGTAATTTCTGTAAATGAACATAAATATATACATTATCTTTAACAATCGTTGTTTTTCGGTAATATCCTATTTTTCCAAACTCAATATTAATTTAAGATTAGCAAGTTTACTTTAAAGAAAATCGAATATATATATGTAATTTGTTCCGAGTTAATCTAAAATTCAGTTTAAGATAAAATAAATATAAGTAGTCAAAAAATTATATGTCTGCAAATTATCCCCATCGAGTTTTTTAAGAAGTAATAATAAAACTCTCCGAAATAATTGGCCGAAATTGAACAACGTAGGTGCGTTCTTATAATTCTGCGATCGGAAGTGTTGAGGCAGTTTCGGAACGAAACGATCCCGAAACAAGAAATTTTACGACGACACCCGGTCTCATCCAGGTCGATGTCTAATTTTAACTCGCTTTTAAAGCAAAAGAGCTAGAAACTGCGCCCTTGAACAGTGGCGGAACAATACCGCTTACATAAACTAATACTTTCATATAATACACCTAAATTAAGTATTAAAATTTCTAATCTAAAAAAATATTTTTTTTTGGTTTAGTTTCGTTGACCTGGTATACTATATATTTTTTTCTTTTTATTATTGGCTTTAGGTCGTTGGGGTTTTAAAGATGTTACTGGATTTTGTTTATTATTTTATTTTTATTGACAACGTTTCGACAGTCATATGTCTTTTTCAAGTCTTGAACGTAGATTTCCATAGAATTAAAATTGTGAAAAACTGGACAATACACTCATATTAAAACTATTATTTTATTTGTTTAAAGACATCACACTTTAGTATACAGCACGTATTTTCTTAAACGGTCTACGAGAAAATACGTGCTGTATACTAAAGTGTGATGTCTTTAAACAAATAAAATAATAGTTTTAATATGTGTGTATTTTTCACAATTTTAATTCTATGGAAATCTACGTTCAAGACTTGAAAGAGACATGACTGTTGAAACGTTGTCAATAAAAATAAAATCCAGTAACATCTTTAAAACCCCAACGACCTAAAGCCAAGAATAAAAAGAAAAAAATATTTTATTAACTATTAAAAAAAATAAATATTGATATCCTAAACATAATTTAATATGGTTGTAAAAAATAATAATCTTGGAACACACTGTATATTCAAAATAATTAACTGATATAAAAAAATACTTACCGGACTCGTAATTGTCAGCTCTATTGTCTCTCTCCTCTTGGTGTCTTTTCTCTTTCTCCACTGAAACAAGAAAATAAGAACATTGTATTTATTTACACGAAAAGAAATATAAAACTTTTTACTCACTTTGAATAAAATTTGTGGTGGCCGTCTTCCTGTGCCTGTTCTGTTCCGCGCTGTCGTGGCGCATCCCGATCAGCTTCCTGAGGCCTCGGACGTCTTTTCTCGTAATGGGACCCACACAAGCGTCATCATACAATTTCACGCAAGGACGATGCAAATTTATAAGGCACACTACAAAAAAAAAATAATTCAGAGGAAAATTTTTTTAGTAATTTTTCACAGTACTTTTGACCCCCCTGTAACCGCGTTGTGAATAAAACAAGAATCTTAATTTTTAGTGACCAAGAAGACATACTATATACAGGGTTGTTCACCACATACGACACGGAATATTGTAGCTAAACGATTAGATTTTTACAAGATACAGAGTGTTCCAAATAAGTAAAAGATATTATAGTTGTATTTTTTTAAATACAACACCCTGTATATTATTCTATTTTTGGATTCTACGATTGAAATAAAGGTAAAAATTTGATTAAGGTTTATCACACTTAAACCTTACCGTTTTTGAAATATTTTCAATTTTATGAAATTGCAGTAAAAAAATTTAAGGCTTTATTTCTCCAAGGGTATCAAAGTTTTTAATACTAAATATTTACTGAAGTTTATTTATTGATCAGTTATTGTGTTGCAATAATAAAAACTTTACTACCTTATACAGAGTGTCTAAAAAATTATTTTAACACAAAAATTATTATAACACCTAGTGGCAATATTTGAAAGTACCTATTACATGTGTCTAGTTGTAATTGATAGTCTATTATTATAGCACCTAGAGGCAATATTTGAAAGTACCTATTACATGACATGTGTCTAGATGAAATTGAAAGTCAATGAATAAAGTATTGTCGATATAGTTCGTTTATATCATTAAAAAATAAAAAAACTGAACAAATAAAAAAACTGAAACTAAACACCTTAAAAATGATATTTCATTTTTTGACAAATGCTTATTTATAACAACAGAAACGTTCATTTTCATAACTTATTATTATATTGATTTCTGATTCAAATCCACATTTATTTAGAATAATTTATTAACGAACACAATTAAGTATGTAATTAATTCGTATTTGGTCGGAAATACTGGTGCTATATTTAATTAATGGTATACTCTTTTATAAAGATTTAAATAGTTTTCTTTTTGCATACAAATTGGCTAGTAATATTAGCGCTTTACTAAAAACGATAATATTACTAGCCTGTACATTTTGTACATTTGTTGTTTTAAAAACAATCTAAAATGTCAATATTCCATGGGTATATTGATAAATGAGGTCTAAATTATAAGAAAATGCATTTTCTACGAAAACTTGAAGGGATAGGTAAAAAGTCGTATAATACAATTTGATAGACAATTAAATTGTGCATCTGATTCTCATAAAATATACAGGGTGCTCCATTTAAATTAAACAAGTTATTGTCGTTTAAAACTAGTAATTATTTTAAATAAATTTTTAGACACTCTGTATATGGTAATATAATTTTTATTATTGCAACACAATAACTGATCAATAAAAAAACTTCAGTAAATATTTAGTATTAAAAACTTTGATACCCTCGGAGAAATGAAGCCTTAAAATTTATACTGCAATTTCACAAAATTGAAAATATTTCAAAAACGGTAAGGTTTAAGTGTAATAAAACCTTAACCAAATTTACCTTTATTTTAATCGTAGAAACTAAAAATGCAATAATATACAGGGTGTTCCATTTAAAAACATACAACTTTGATATTTTTTATTTATTTGGGACACTCTGTATCTTGTAAAAATATTTTTAAATTGTAGCTCTAATAGTCCTTCAACGAACCCAAAACTTACAATTTGTAAAAATCTAATCGTTTAGCTACAATACTCCGTGTCGCATGTGGTGAACAACCCTGTATAAAATCCTTAAGTGACTGACTCACTGATTAATCACGATCCTGCTCAAACCACTCAACGTAAGAAGCTCAATTTTAGCATACAGGTTGATTCTAGGGTGTAGAGTTTCGATAAGAAGAGATTTTTCGAAATTCCAAGGGGGTGAAACCATGATGAAACCACCCCTCAAATATTACAATATTTTTTATTTAAAAAACGGTCAAGTTTCCGAAAAAAAACGCTTAAACACGTACATATATTTTATTTTATTTTTTTACATATTTTAAGATTTTTTAAAAATGTATACAGGGTGTTTCGAAAAATCTGGTCATTGATTAATCACGTTCCTGCTTAAAAAGCTGATTTTTGGAAAACGTATTGACTTTAGGGTGTAGAGGTTCGATAAGAAGTGATTTTTCGAAACTCGAATTCTAAGGGGGTGAAACCACCCCTCAAATATTAGAATATTTTTTATTTAAAAACCGGTTAGTTTTTCGGAAAAACTCTTAAACACGTACATATATTTTATTTTGTTGTTTTACATTTTTTAGGATTTTTTAAAAATTTATACAGGGTGTTTCATAAAATATGACCATTGAGTAATCACGATTCTGCTCAAACTGCTTGACGTTTAAAGCTGATTTTTGGCAAACGGATTGACTGTGGGGTGTAGAGGTTCGACAAGGAGGGGTTTCTCGATTGTTTTTTCTCATGCTGACATAAATGCGAGAAAATTTTATCCAGTTTCTATGTTAATGGAAATTCTTGCTTTGCTTTATCATCACCATTACAAATGATTAATTCGACGCTAACGAAGTCGCGTGTACACGCTAGTAGCCTATATATTATTCTGATGTATAAGCTATATTACCCCAAAGTTTTATTAAAATCCATTCAGTAGTTTTTGCGTGAAAGAGTAACAAACATCCATACATCCTAACAAATTTTCGCGTTTATAATATTAGTAAGGATAAGGAAGAATTGCGTTGCGAGACTTGGTATTTATTACATTTTATGTTTTTGACGACATATTATACTTACATGAACATTGATATCCCTGCGGACTGATCCCATAAATAATTTGATGACAGTTGTTACAAGGTATCACAGTATAATATTGTTGGGACATGAACTGATGACCCAAATGACTTATCTAGAAAAAAAAAACAAAAAATAAGTTAAAATACGCTTGTTTTGATTTTACCCCACCTTTCTAGAATATCGCCCGATAATCTTCGATTTCAACGACCGATCCCGGTTTACAAAGGTCGGCACTCTGTCCAAATCCAAAATGGGCGACCGGATCTTAAACATCCTGGTAAGTATCGTGACGAGAGCGGCCGCCATATAAAACTTGGGCGGATCGACGTTCTCCTTTTCAAACTCTTCCAAGTACATTTCTACTTTCGGAATAAACAGACTCTCGTACAATTTCATCTCCTTGTTTTTGTCGTTGTAGTGATCCTGGAAAAATTTGTATCGTAGAGAAAGGATCTCTGAGAAAACTAATCAGTTCTCACCGTAAGTTCCGAATCGGTCGGTCCGTAAATCGTACCCAAACCTGCCGTTCTTTTATGCTGGAAATCGGTGAGTTGCCTGGTTAGTTCTTCCTTGGCGCGCGACCTAGCCTTCCAGAAGATCTTTCTCATGATTTCCTCCTTTTCGTACTCTTTCGTTAAATCGTCGTCTATCTCTCTCGCGATGTTTTCGTCCACGTTGTTCAATCTTAACGGCTATACAGAAATACAATTTAAAAAAAAATAAATTGTTTTATAAAAAACTTACCGCGCCAGGAACTAGGAAACACGAGTGTATTTCGAACGCCCACTTTCTCATTTCCTTGGCATTGCCTTCCTTATAGAGATCGGTCAACAGGTAGAACAGCAAACTGTTGGGATCGCAATTTGACAGAACGTAGTTCATAAACACCGCCAGATGGGGCAGGTGGTCCCACAGACGAGACAGCGATTTGAAATGACCGTGATCCTCCCACTGATCCTAAAATTGTATTTACTTCACATCAAAAAGAAAACTTGTCAAATATTTTTTTGAGTGGACAAGATAACGCGTCGGGCACACAGAAAGCAAGTACAGCGACTACAACAAAATAACAGGATTATATAGGGATGGCCTGACCAAAAGCATGTAACGTTCAGCGTGTCTCGCAAAAGACGCAAATGAAAAGAAATCAGTTTGTTTTCTGTAGCGTCTTTAGCGATTTCTAAGATGAGACCGAGTCATAAGCGGATATAATATTTAATAATATTTTTATAGTAAATTAAACATGCATTTTTTTTTCATTTTAGGGTATTTTCTGACAATATTTTTATAGAGGGCATCTATTGTTTAGGAAAATTCCAAATATGAGGTTATTGATGCTCTTGACCGCGATTTTCTGATAGAGGCCGCACAAAATCTTACTTAAATATTAGTATTTATTTATACTTTAGTATTATATGAGTATTTATACTTTAGTATAATATTAGTATTTATCAGGGTCGGCATGATTTAAATCAAATGATTTAAATCATGATTTAAATCGTGATTTAAATCAAGTAATTTTTTAAATTTTAATCATGTGATTTAAATCAAAAAAAATATTTTATTGAAACTTTATAATAAATAAAAAAATAACTGTAAAAATTATAAAAATGTGTCCAAGAAAACTATAAAAAATATTTCTATAGCAGATATATAAGACAATAAACCGACAAATAAGTGTAAATGTTATAAAACTATTTAAAAATATCTATTCAATTCAAATGTTGGACCGATTTCTGAAGTAATTTCGCGTGAATCCATTAGATCGCTAATCGCAGGGATTTATATTAAAATTTATGTATAAATGACAAAAATTCGCTGTTCGAATACATATCGCAAAGTCTACTGCCAGAACTAGGTTCTTCTGATATAGAGACTATATCTTCATTTCCGAGGATCTAAAATAAAATTGTTGTCAGAAAATATGTTGTTTTATATTTTTTTTGAAACGGTTGTATGTTTCCAAATTCCTACCGACATTTTGATCTGCAGTAAGTACTTTACACTTTGACATTAGATAATATATACTAATTTCATTCTCGACTTAAGACTATTTCCGAACAACAGTGTATTGTTTTAATAGGAGTAAAAATTATACTTTTTTTGTTTGGTTTGCATCTTTGAAGGACATCGTAAAGCTATTCCGACGTTGCAGGAAGGCACAAAAAGTACATTTTTACTCTGAATAGAACATACTATTTTTTTTAAACATTACAAATAATTTTTTAATCAATTTCAAACATTGCAAATAATATAAACAGTAATCGAGCAACAATTTTTTACACACCCAGAATTTGACACTTATATCAGTTTAATAATAGATTTTTGTATTTTTGTGCTTAGGCGTAACAGTGCTTTACTTTTATGCCTAGGCATTAAAATGACAAACATTAATACTTTTGAAACGCTTGAAAAAAAATCCTTTTCATCTGAAGCGGGCGACTTTTTTTGCGGAATATATTGGTGACCGATGTGGAAAAATGACACGCGCTGTAGAATTGCTAATGTTATCGGTATCGAGCAGAGTTAAAAAAATATTTAGCCTTAAATGGCTAAAATTAATATGTATATAATAAGACTTTAATTGGAAATAAGTCCCAGTCATTTGGAAATCCGATTTAAATATTGTTTTGAATTTAAATCAAAAAAATCTGATTTAAATAAAAAAAAATCTGATTTTTTTTATTTTTAAAAAAAAATCATGATTTTTTCCAACCCTGGTATTTATACTAATATTTAAGTAAAATTTTCTTTTGCCTCATAACCAGCTTTGCAGTTCGGTCCCTGGCCGCTCACCAAAAAGCCTACCCACCAAATTTGGTTGCGATCGGACGATATCAACTTTTGACGTTTCTTACGTCAAAACTGACGTAACACTTACGTCAAAACTGACGTAACACTTACGTCAAAACTGACACGGTCAAGTTGGCTTTGAGCCAATCTATCGACATACCAAATTTCATTTAAATCGGACGATTTTTTCGCCATTGATGATAAGGTTTCGTAATGCCCGAAACTGTGTGGCACGAAACGATGTTTGAACTATACTAACAGTTAAAATACTTGCACTTATTGCTGGGACACCCTGTATATATCCTCCCCACTCCCAAATGGAGTCCTCAGACGGACAGACATACAGACGGAAGTAAGAAGTTGCACTTAAAATATGCGCATAGTGCATACTGCATACACAATTTTTTGGTGCAAAGTATTGCAAAACGCAAATTACGCAAACAAACTGCATCTATACAGTCCACTATTTACTAAAACTTATTTTAATCATAAACAAACCAGTTTGACTTTAGATTATATAATAAAGACAGTTGTCAAAATGTCGTATGTCGATGTTATACAGGTTGTTAATTGGACAGTTAGTTATAGGGGAACAGAACGGCAACACTGCCTATTGAGAACGCATGCACTTATATGGTTTTCTGCCGACTCGTCCCGTCCATATATATATATTAACTAAAGAATATCGACTCCAAACTGCATTCTGTGAAGCCAAGCCGGTGAAATGGGTATATAAATCTTCTGAAGGAATTTGCATAAGTCGCTCACTTAGCTGTGCTCAAGCGTAGTGCGCAAGCCTGGATTTTGAATTATCGATCGGATATCCAGACCAATAAGAGACTAGACGCTAGCACCAGCTGTTCATTCGTACGGCTCCGTCCAAATTCGTACGGCTTTCGTTTGCGCTCCCGTTCGACAATTGGCTAATCCTGGCTAATCGATATTCGGAATTTTGGAGTTGCGCTAGTATCTGCCTAACAGACGAACTTATGTGAAATATACATGGACCGATTATCTAGTTGTCTCTAACTCGGCTTCAACTCCAACACATTGCAGGGATAGGCGATAATCCGTATATATTTGATATGTATATGGTCTCGTCCCGTCGTCTATCGACGAGCGGGCCGAGGTTGCCATATTTCAACCATAAAGCTCTTGCCGCGAGTAATAAACAAATTAACAACCTGTATATTCTCTCGCTGAACAGATTATATATATTTTAAAGAAAAAACTTACATTTTCGAAATCCGATATATCGTCTTCCATGCTGAGGATCATCAGAGACGTTAGAGCGGTTTGCGAATTGGTCAATCGAATGGGAGAACTGCTTATTTTGGGTGTTTGAGGCGAATGGGCCGAATCTACAAACGATTCTTCTGGAGAATTCTAAAAAAAATAAAATTTAAACATCATAATTAATCCCACAACCTAAAACCATTATAAACTTACGAAACTTAAGGAGCCATCGCTGTTATCGCCCATAGCTATTCTGTCCCTTCGCTCCGACAAAGGGCTGGGGTAAGGAGGCGGCGGAGTACCTGGAGGAGTCCTAGCCCTCTGCTGCTGCCAGTTGTTCTGGTTCAGGTTGTCGTTCTTGCAGTTTTTCATGTCGGCACTGAGCGCTGCCATCAAAGAATCCGGACTGGATTTGGTCCGAGAGTGCTTCGACTGATTGCTACCCGACTGCAATTAATGGAGAAAAATACGTAGCATAAAGTGCTTTTAATTTTGCCATTCTGTATAAAAGTTCCAATGTGGTCTATATGTCTGTGATAACAGATTATACAATAACTGATAATTATAGAGATCCCTCATTATCATTTATCTAACTAGAATATAAATATGGTTTTATATTTATTCAAAAACGACTAACCTAGGTAATGTATAAATTATGAAATATTAAGATATTTATTCCAGCCCAGTGTTAATTATACCTATTAAATGTTTGTTAAATGTATGTAAAAACTGAATTTTTAATGTACAATGATGATTTAAGAAAAAATAGTTTAGAGGTTACTTTTAGTACTTAGTAGCACTGAATTAACTAGAAGTTTTCTGTGAGCTTCAAATAACCTCTATAATATATTAAAAAGCATACACCTTATAAAAATACTGAGCGTTTAATAAAAAACTTAAATTTAGATTGGAAATATACTAGTAATATTAAGACATTTTTTCAAAAATAAATATCAAACTGTCCTCTCAATATTTTTTATTATTAAATTCTAGAAATAAGTGAGTAACAGCCTCTGATGTATTTGTATTGACAAATATAAATTGTTTTTATGATATATTTACATTTTTTTCTTCTACCTTCTACCACATTATTCCAAAAAATCAAAAAAAATCATAATAAAAATAGTCGATAGTATTTCAGAACAATACACCGGGTGTTTCTCAAAAGTGGTTCGCCCCCTATAACATTTTTAATTTTTCAGATAAAAAAAATAAATTTGGTAAAGTACATCTACTGGATCTGTGTCTATGAAAAGAATGATGTGAACCACTTTTGAAAGACGCTTTGGAATTTAATAAACCAATGACAAGGTGAATTATTCTGAAAATATTTAACAGTAAAATGGATTTTACATCGGCTTATGGCCATTTCCAATCTAAATTTATTTCCTCTTATCATCTACCGAGTGGAAAGCGTGCAACAGCATGCGCGTTACTTACACAATCGCTAACCAGTGACGTGCAGGTGGCGACGAGCGGGTACGCCATCTGTTTGTCGATGGAGTTAACTGCGTCGTGGTCGGTGTGCAAGTTATATGGCGGGTAAGTGCGAGGCGGCAGCGGGGGTGGTACGTCACAGCTAGTGTGATCAGAGTCCTAAAACACAAACGAGTCCAGGAGCTCCCGCTGCGGTATGTGTGATGGGGACAGTGTACAAGTATAAATGCCGGTGACAAGTATAAGCAATACCAAATAAACTGTTAGTTACATCATCGAGGCCGCGATTATTAAATTCATTGTTGCCAACCATGGACATATTCGGTGCTGGGCTGACTAACTGGAATTGAAATTTCCCGCTGGCGATTCAGGTGGTAGCTTTGCTATAAAAAATGTCAAGTTGCCACATTTATTTACTTATTTCCTGACTTTTTGATTAATTTTCACACTTTAAGGGCCGTTTAGACTTATAACATGCGTATTGTACAAAATTGACAATTTGTACAACATTTTTGCAAACATATTTTTTTCGTTTACATGTTCAGTTAGTTGGTGCTATTTGTCGGATTTCATTTAAATAACCTAAAAAGAAGAGATAAGCGTAACCTCATTCAAAAATTTCTCATTAAATATTTCTGAAACCAGTAGGTATTGTATAAACAAATATATTACAATGCTGTGCCGGTCAAGCTTAATGAGGTGACTAAAAGTTTATTTGGTATGTATATACAGGGTGAGTTTTGTACGATGTTCTCTATGGGTATCTCGCAAACTACTGGCGATAGAGAGTGGGTTAAATGGCCAAATAATTGCAGTTTTGTGGGGTCATTCATAAATATGCGCCTTTCGGATTTTTGAAAAAGTTTATGGCTTAATAGATATTTCGAAAAAAACAATTTTGACTATTTTAAAAATGCTCTCTATAGTCACAGTAGTATATTTTAGACAAAAAAGTTTTCAGATTAAAGTTGTAAATAATCACATCCTTAATGAGACTGTTTCTCTGTTTTTTTTTTCTAAAGCCTGTCATTTTTGACATATGACACAAACATGTTTTTTTAAATGGAAACATAGTTGGCCATGACCTTCATAAAAAGCGTCATTTTTATGGCCTTCCAGCTATATAAGCTATATGTTTTTTTTCGAAAAATTACTGAGTTATAGCCAATTCTTATCTTTTTTGACTAATTTCACTTAGTTGGGATGGTATTCTTATTCTATTATGATTTAAAACTTATAAAAAGACAGAATATTTTATTAAACGGTTCTTTACAATTTACATTAAACCAATTAAAACTTAAAAACTAATATCACTACATACACTTCTTCAAAAATTCGAAAGGCGCATATTTATGACTCCACAAAACTGCAATTCTTTCCCCATTTAACAGACTCTCTAGCTCCCAGTAGTTTCCCAGATACCCATAGAGAACATAGTAAAAAACTCACCCTGTATATATATAGGTGTTTACATGAACGATTAGAGAGAGAAATATGTACATAAATAATAATTTTAAAATGATATATTTTTAAGAATTTAAAATTCACCAAAAGCCTGTGAGTTAATATGTATTAAGCTGTAGAAGCAGACATTTAATTTTACTTTAAATTTCCATTAGTCCTAAATATTAAAATAATACCATATAATAAAAAAAACCGTCAAAAACGGCTTATTGACGGCTTACAATTGATGATAATATTGGCGAGGTCAATCCCTAAACGCCATTTACTAAATATAAAAAGATTTGAAAAAAATAGAACGTTCCTAGAGACACAAATATATTTCTAAAAAATTATTTACTCTCAAATTTTAAACTACACCATTTAAAAATAAATTACAACCTTCTTAACGCCACCTTCTTAAGGCTTAAATGGGAAGTAGGCGCCAATAAAAAATAACGTACGGGCCAAGTAAATAACATCTAGGGCTTAACCTCGCCAAAATTATCATGAATTGTCATTCCCCAGCCGCCTTTGACGCCGATTTTTTTTCGATCGTGTGGTAATATTTTTAAGCGGCGCTTCCAACTCACCTCGCCATTTCGTTTTTTAGCGTTGGCATTGATTTCGTTGGACAAAAATGAATAATTGATATCGGCGGCACTGGACGGCAGTTTATTTCTCTTAGGAAGTGGCGGCGGGGGAAGTGGCTGCGTTACGCCTTTCGAGGGCATAATTAGGGTGGGAGTAATTGAACCGGGTGAAGACAGAGGTCTTCCAATCGATGACTGTTTCTAAACACATCAAAAACCTCTATATTAAAAGTATACTATAAAAAAAACCTCATACATACTAAAGTATCTTGTAATGTTCTGAGATTCTTCTCTGCCTTGGCCAGTTCAGTAGCTTTCTTCTCATTGGGCGATACTGCCAATTGACTGCGCAGCTTATCCAAGTGATGTTGTTCCTTTTCTATCATAAGTCTGTAATATTGTTCTCTTTCTTGTTGCAGCTGGTGCTGCTTTTCGTTCTGTAAAACATTTATCTAATAAATTGAAAAATTTAATACAAAAAACTAAACCTACATCGACAGGTTGGGGCCCAGTTATTCTACTAGCTGAGGAAACAGTTGCTGGTCTGTGACCGGGGGAACTTAAAGAGGATCCTTGCTGGACTGTTAAAACCACCTGTGCTGAGGCTAAATTAAGATATTTATCAATTACAAAATAATTCTTTTAAATAAACACATTAGTATAAATATACTGATGTCAACACTTACACTTGATTAGAACTACCACATCTGTATGAGTAGACTGCATCACGTTATGGCCATTAACTTGCAAAATAGTATCTCCGGCATTTAGTCCAGCCTTTTCTGCAGGGCCCCCTAAGGAACAACAGGAAATGCTTATCTCTGTATAACTTGTAAGTCAAAATAAGCTACCTTCTTTTACACTTTGAACAAATACCGGATTATCTCCGGATACTTTCATCCCATATCCACTATTATCACGTGTAACAACTACCCTTACAGCATTTGGAAGACTGTGAGGATGGTCCATCAGCGAAGGCTGTTTACCAGCCCCGGGGCTTAACATGAAAAAAATATATATCACTACTAATCATAAAACAGATGCTTATGTTAATAACCAATAAAAGATGAACAATAACATTTTTGTCAAATAACCTAAGATTCTGTCATACTTATAATTAAATATCAACTGCAAAGTTATGACATCACCAAAATGTTTAAAAACTTACATGCAATAATTTCAGATGAAGTGTAGGTATTTTTAAATATTTTTATTTAATTTAAATAATTCATATTCACATTTATTAATTAATTACTTAAAAGTTAATTATCTGTTCAATAATAGAACTGATAAGACTTTTTTGTTTACAATATATCATCTACATATAAAAATTCTTCTGACAATATTGAAAGCCTGCATGTAAATTTACAATTTTTAAAAAGGTATATTTTAAAAATTTACAGTTTCAACTGTTTTGCTCGACGACAACGCCTACTCAGTAAATTGTAAAATTTGATTAATTAGAAATAATGAAAATGTCTATTTGAATAAGAAAACTATTAAAGTTACTTATTTAATAAAATCTAAGGGCTAACGGGTATCAACTTAGGGAAATGGACCTTAAAACTGGATATACAAAACAATGCAACAATAATTTGTATCAATTACCTGTAGATGTTTGACAGACATATATATTAACAATTCGAAATTTTCATATATTTCATTATTCTTGATTTCATAACTATTACAGTTTACTGACATATCTTTTATTTACACTTACGATCGCATCCTATTTGATGGTGAATTATTATTCATAGTGGTTGGGTTTATTTCATACTACCGAGGCGTAAAAATATTGGAAGAGTAAAAATATTCAGCACCATACATCACTTCTATTGCCAGTTTCGATGAAAATATCGGTTATCACTCAACACTCTCATTCAATGTGATGCTATTATCAATTTTCGTCACTTTTTATCGTTAATAATCAAATTTTCGCTTTTAAAACAAAGACACAAATTTTACAAACACTTTAGCCAACAAGTGTTAGCCATATTGAATATTTTCGTCTTAAGAAAATGTTCTAGTGCGCTTGTACGCATCAACCAGGGCCATGTAAGTGAAATATTAAAAATGGTTCCAGCAAAAGTTTCCCAATTATGACGGATGATGGCGCTGATCGTCAAAATTTTTGGACAGGGATTTTGCTTACCGACAATACGACGTGAGCTACGACCGGACCAGGACCAATCAGAATGATCAGTCTTTCTTGGACATTTGCCGCTTTCATATAAAATTAATATTAATTACATTAATAATATATCGCTAATCTTCTAAAATACCACCCGATGGATGCATAAGAGGGATGGTCTACTGTATTTTTTTAAATTTAAAGGTACTATCACGGGTACTATTATGGGTACTATGAATTAAAAGCAGTTGGCAACATTGATTTGTGGCTTCTCTTCCTCTTCTTTGCTTCTCTTTTTTGCATATATATATTAATTAAATGCTTTTTTGATATAGACAAAGAATATAGAGCCAAATAGAGCTTTAGTCATTGATATAGAGTATCTGGAACCCATTGATTTGTATAATATAAATTAATAATACAAATAATTAATAGGATAAAATAATTTACCTAATTATAACGTATTACATTATTACTTAGGGTAAAGGTGTGGATCCGGTGGGTGATCTTAAAACCATAAAATAATAAATACTACAAGACTTAAAACGAGTTTTTGCTGCATATAGTCACATATATTACGCATGCGCACATCGTCGATGTTGCCAGATTGTAGGTTATTTTGGAATTATTTTCAGTAGAAAACAAATAATGTGATTTTCAGTGTTTTTTTTGTCAATATATACCGTATGATCGAAAAAAAACGGTGTCCAGTTGACGTCCAAGTGACGATCGATGACATTTCCCATATAAATTTACATATAAAATGACAGCGATCTTCATTTCATAGTTCGCTGTCGCCATTTTTTTCGATAATACGATATTATTTATACCGTATGATCGAATAAAAACGGCGTCAGCGATGGATATGAAATGAAGATCGCTGTCATTTTATATGTAAAATTATATGGGAAATGTCATCGATCGTCATTTCCAAGCCAACTGGACGCCGTTTTTTTTTCGATCATACGGTATTATTTTAATATTTCACACAATACGTGAACGCTTATTAAGTTGTTATTATGTATTTTCATAGTTAATAAAATTAAATAGAAATAAAACTCTAAATTGTTAAAATTAATCTAATTGCTCTAGATTATATTATACTACGTTTCAAAAGTGCTGTATTAAAAATTCGGAAAATTAAAAGGGATGTGTCCAAGTTTCTTAAATTTTTTTGAAATTTTAAACTCTGTAGCTCCATATCGTGTTCATAATAGGTTTTATAACATTCAATTAAAACTACGTAGGCCTTAAAAAGGCCCCAGTAATTATTACTGTAGAGTCAGCTTATATTAATAGGTACCTTGTTTAATTCTGCTTATATATACCGTATGATCGAATAAAAACGGCGTCCAGTTGGCTGGGAAATGACGATCGATGACATTTCCCATATAAATTTACATACAAAATGACAGCGATCTTCATTTCATAGCCATCGCTGACGCCGTTTTTTCTCGATCATACGGTATTATATATCGTATTAATTTTTCTGCAACCGAAGATTTTTCTATTCTTACACCTAATTTATGTGATTTTCTTAGCATATATGATTTATAAACAATATTTTTCCTAATGGAAGGATTTGCAAGTATTAATAAGATATCTTAACATTTATTCTCCACACCACAAAGCATAATATGTAGAAGGTATTAAGACATAAAAAATTATAAGAACTATCTTAATAGAAATCACAAACTAACGTAAGTCTGTCTTAAGTTGGTCTGTGTATAAATCTAATATCAAAAATGAACCTTCACCATATTATCAAGATTTTGGCATTACAGGAAAGAAATTACAGTAAATTAAGAAAAGAATATCAAAGTACAGTATATTAAATACTGTAATGTATTCTACCACACAAACCACATACCTTCTAAACAGAAAAAGATAAAACATAAAGCTTTATTTTAATCCTATCAGCATTCTTCGATAAAATGCCGTATGATCGAATAAAAACGGTGTCAGTGATGGCTATGAAATGAAAATCGCTGTCATTTTATATGTAAAATTATATGGGAAATGTCATCGATCGACATTTCCAAGCCAACTGGACGCCGTTTTTTTTTCGATCATATGGTATTTGCCTACAATGGATGTAATAAATGTGTCATATTGATGATACAAAATAATAATTCTAATAGGTTTAAAACCTATAAGAAATAATCCGTAAATGAGAATTTTTAATTCTAATGTAAATATATAAATAAATATTATTATTACAATATTTATATATTATTTACAACTCCGATTACAATCATAATACCGCATGATCGAATAAAAACGGCGTCAGCGATGGCTATGAAATGAAGATCGCTGTCATTTTATACGTAAAATTATATGGGAAATGTCATCGATCGTCATTTCATAGCCATCGCTGACGCCGTGTTTTTATTCGATCATACGGTACCTTAACTTCAAAATCTCCATTATCCTTCTTACCTTAATTTTTGATATCAAGATAAATCTTAAACTATAAAATTAATTATAGAATTTGTACTATTATTATTACTGATTAACACTCAAAAAAATATTTCTTTTTAACCAAAAATAATTGGAAAATAAACTGCAATTTGACAACATCGACGATGTGCGCTTGTGTCTTGCTTGCGTAGTATCGATGGTGATCAAATGCAGCAAATATTGGCTTCAAGGTCAGCCAGCGGATCCACATCTTTGCCTGATTTAGTAACTAAATGAATTTAAAGAATAGATGTAGATCCGGTAATACCGTAAATCCAAATAATGCTAATCACAGATTACTAATAGATAATTTAATAGTAATTAATTTGATTTCAAAATATGAGCAGTAAACGCCTAAAAATAGAAAAGGAGAAAGTTAAAACATAACCAAACATATTTTATTCGTTGTCGAAGGTCGAGCTTTGTGGTCGAGGTCGAAGAATTTAAAAATTAAATCAATTATAAGCGAAGTTCTAAATAAGGTTATTTGAAGAAGATATTAACTGATATTAATAAACGGAAGTTTAGGATGTCAGAGGGCTCGAGTAAAGACAGCGGTGCAACTAAAACACCAATGGTATATATATGTGGTGGTACGTATTAATCTCAAAGCAATTCTAGTTGTTCTTATTATTATTGCTTTTCTCTCTTTTAGAATGTCACAATGAGAATGAAATCAGACCACGAGATCCCATAAGATGCAGAGAGTGCGGATATCGTATTATGTACAAAAAACGAACCAAGAGATGTATCCTTTTACTTTTAAATATTTATTACCGATTAGGTTTTTAGTTTTCCTTAACATCAAAATTAGTAATTGTCTTTGATGCAAGATGAGTATTATCCAGTCTGCCTATCAGAGGTTAAGTTCAACTTATAATATCAGCACTGAAGTTCTATTTAATATCAGTTTAATTATTTTTACTAATAAAACTCAATGAATTAAGAATATTTTATTATTTTTATTTTAAAATATAAATTACTTTTAATTATTTTAAATATGTAAATGTAAAAGGCAGGTCAATACTATTTATCAGTATTTGAAAGAAAGTATATTAATATGTATGAAGTCGCTCCAATTCATGATATTTTCTCTGATACATATATTTTTGATAATTATAATCTTCACCATCCGTATTCCATGCAATATACATATACAAAGTTAGGATTGTTCCTAGCAGTAGTCGATCCAAACTGAAATAAATTTTGATATAGAAAAATTGCCACAATTTCACCAATAAATATTTACGTCATGGTAGGATAAAACCAGAACACCATTAAAAAGCCTAAAAAGCTGGGATGTCTCATGTGGGATGTAAGTTTCCGTAGCCGATGAGATTTTCTTTGATTTGGCTCAGGAAGATTAATGATACTATAATATATCTAAAAAGAATCAAGTTCATACCTGCAAAACTATGGTGAAATTTATTACAAACCTGTTTCAAACCCAGTAATTCTGTAACATCAGTACATATGTTTGCCACATAAATAATAATCCAAGCTACAGAGTGAACTCCAAAGTAAATCCATGATAGAGGTTTATAAGACAAATTTAAATGCCATAGCACTATTGTAGAGGTCAACCAAGATTTCATGATAAACTAGAATATTCAATTATATTTTCTGAATTCTCAATTATACAATACGATGGAAAAAAAAACGGCGTCAGCGATGGCTATGAAATGAAGATTGCTGTCATTTTATATGTAAAATTATATGGGGAATGTCATCGATCATCATTGCCAAGCCAACTGGACGCCGTTTTGTTTTCGATTATACAGTATTAATACATAAATGTAATTATGTTGTATACTTACTAAAAGAGATGCTGCGGTGGCAGTTGTATATATGCATCGTGACATATCATCCAGTTTAAACTTACTAAGACAGCTTTTAAAACGCTCTGAAGCCATTGCTGAATGTTGTACTATGAAAAGAACCAATAATGCCATATCCTTTAATAAGACCCACGATCCCTCAAACCATATTTCTGCAGAAAAATTTAAAATATTTTTCTTACCAATAATTATTTTCATAATACCTTCATGCGTTTTTCCAGTTTCTTCTTTAGGAAATGATATAAAGTATGTAAATTCCATAACAGAATAAAACAGACAAATAAAACTAAAAGCAGCAAAAAGTAACTTAAAAAAATATAGAACTTTTAAAATCATTTTATGTATTTATAAAAAGTAAATAAAAACTTTAGAGATTTTTAATTAGTATTGTTTACTAAATTCCTAGAATTGGAAATGTTATGCATTCCCATGAAATTCCCATAAACCATTCAGCATTTCAGCAATCAAACAAAATCACAGAAAATCAGTAGAAAAAGGTAAACAAGTTTATAATATAAATATCTATTACGTCATCACGTCATCAAAGTCAAACAGTCGGGTGGGGATTTAATTAATGAACCCACAGATTATAAATAGGAGGAATAGACAGTAGGGTTGTTTGGTATTTAAATTATGGCAACACTATAAACTGACAGATATCATTGATTATTTGAGGTTTTATTTTTATTTTACTGTTCTGTATTCTGTAGCAGATAAGTGGTAACCTTCGGAAGGTTGCATGTGTGTTAGAGAGTGATTCTAATTTTTCTTATGGCGTATTCGATTACGATGAGTTTTATAAATTGAGATACAGGTATACAATTTAAGTCTCGATGATGGTCTTGGACCATTGTAATTTTCGTTATCCTTCAAAAACTAAGACTCAGTGGAACAAGTGCAAGTGCGTATTGACGAAAGCTTCAAATACGTTTGAAGCTTTCGAGTCCGTGTTCATGGAACTATGAACCTTGATTCATTGTCTTTTACTTTGTCTCAAATAAGTTATTTAATCGCTACTTTAACGAAAAAGAACTACAAGCTGGTTGTAGCAGAACTCCTAGAGGTATGTAAAAAAAATATTTAAAAAAACATTGCTCAGCTGACAAAAGAATGAAATATGACAGATTGGAGAAGCGCCATATTAGTTGTTTTTTTTTCATACAAACATGTTGGAACTGGAAGTAAGGTACTGACACGAATTTGTTGTTAAATAATGCTTCTCCTATATTTAACATAGTTAGAGTTCATTCAGTTTATATCTAACATTTTAGATATACACAAAAATTTGATTTAGAAAAGAAAATCCTTCCACTTTCAAATTAGTCTAGCAATTTCACTAGGTACATAATGAAATGTTTAAAAATAAACTGAAACTTTAGGTTTTTGTGTTTTATTTTTATGAAATTGTTTTGTTAAAGGTAGTCACTTTACATGGTCTTGAGGCAGACCGTCACTTGGTCCAGTGTCTGTTCTCGTCAGTGAATTTCTCTAATCAGACAGTCAAAGTTGCTACACCTCACATCCAATTATTATTGGACCAGTGTGCTCGGTTACTGAATACACCATCCTTACTCACAGCAGTTTGTTACCTTACTGATAGACCTTTGGTAAATGAAAAGGTAGGCACAATGTTTCATCAGTCATAGAGGATAAATACTTATAGAATAATTATCTCCTTTTTTTTAGAATCTGAAGGTTGGCCCCCAGTTTTTTTCCCAATTGAGCAAGCACTTGCGCCTTTCTGCTGTTCAGGAGGTGTTATTTGCTTTAGCTCTTCGTCATTCTTCAATATCAGAAGTTTCAAATCTAGCCCAGAGCCATTTGAGGGTTACCGTACCTCTATTAGTGCAGTCCTATATTGGTAAGTATAATACTATCGAAAAAAAAAAACAGCGTCAGTGATGGCTATAAAATGAAGATTGCTGTCATTTTATATGTAGGTAAAATGATATGGGGAATGTCATTGATCGTCATTTCAAAACCAACTTGACGCCTTTTTTTTTGATCATATGGTATTACTTTCATATTCTATTATTGTAACTTGTTACAAGATTGAAATGAAATTATTACACTTTAAGTGTAAAGACAGAATAATATACTTTTTCTTATTTACTTTCCTTGAGTTTCCAAGGAGACATTGGTTTTTTTAATGACTGGGTGACTGGTTTGGGCTCAAAAATAAATAAAATTCTGTGATATGTATTGTTTTAATATAAAAGAAAAATATTTTAAATATGAATCTTGGTCTGGGTTTTATCCTTGTTATTATTCTTAAAGTTACTCAACCGCTTGGTTAACTTGTGTGGCTAACTGGTGGTCAAATTGTGAACTAATAAAAATGAATGAAACCTTAATATGGTTATATTATGGTATTGGATTATATATTATATACAGGGTGATTCACGGCCTTGGCACGTTAGATATTTATGAAGAACCGGTAGTTAGAAGAAAATATGTAAAAGTTTATATATATATTTATATAAATATTTGGTATGATCTTATGTGTCTAATAGAAACTAACTGAACATTCTTGTTATTAAATTGTTTTGCAGTACTAATATTTTATTTAAATCCATTACTACATAAGACCTTTTCAATTTTTATTAAAATGATTAGCACTCATTTCAAGGGATTAATTTTTAAGATATAGTTGAAATCTTTTTCTGAGCGAATGATTTTTTTTAAGACACAGAAGGCAGCAGCCGTCAGCACGAAGGCGGTCTTCACGAAACCAGCCCCGAAGTGCTACACTTCATCTTGTCCGCCATCTTGGAGTCTCCCAAAGAAGTGGGCCTGACGAACGAAAAACACACGACCTTTTTGCACACGCTACAAAAAGACTTTTCGAAGGAACAGGTGCCCGTGGTATTGGCGCCCTTAGTTTACCCTGAACAGTTCGAACTAGCTCCCGAGATGTCGTCCGAGGGTCCGGGACTAGCCGGAGGTATCCTGGATACGTCTCTGGCGGATCTCATTAAAGAGGTGGGCTACGGATTCACCTCGTCACTGGAGGAATGCAGGAATACCATTTTGAAGTTGGGAGGACGCGACATTGCGCCCTCTACAATTGCTCGCGTTCTGGCAGTCATGTGCCGAACTCATACCGGATTAGACGAGTCTCTAGGTTTGTGTTTGGCTAACAGTGTACATGGTGGTTCAAGTTGTATTCGGGAAACTTTGGCAGCATATTCTGCAGATAAAAATAAGTAAAAAAGTTTGTTTAAATTTATGTCCTAAAATGCTTCGTTTCAGTGGTACAAAAAACAGAAGTTTCATTTTTATTTAATTTTTTTTCCAAATAATTTCGGAACTAACGTTTATATTTTGAGTGTTTGAAATGAGAAATTTGATTTTGATATCAACGAAGAAAAGGGTAATAAATTTTCGTCCGTACTTTTATAAAAATTTAAAATGGAAATAGTCAATACATGTAATTATTGACAAAAAATAAACATGTTGTAGATAGTTACTCCCAGACAATATTTTGAAATGAAACTTCTACACCCTGTATCTCCGAAACTAAGCACTTTAGAACATAAATTTATACAAACTTTTTTACTTATTTTATCTGCAGAATATGCTGCCTAAGGCCGTGGCCCAACATAGTTGGACGCGTAGAGCGTTGCGTAGCGTACGGCGCGGCGGAGAGGAGTGAGTACAGTGGCCCCACATTTAGTCTTAATAGGAAATGAGCAGTAGGCGCGAAAATTTCAATCAGCTAGCAAATACGCGTCAAGCAATACGCTTCGCCGTCCTCTCCGCTTATGTGGGACACGCACTAAATTTCTCGAATACAATTCGGACCACCCTGTATATAGCGTTTCTTGATTTTTAAATATCCTACAGGAACATTCAACAAGACAGCAGATGTTAGGACCTCGTGGAACACAGAAATATTTGTACAGGCTTTAAAGGAAGTTTCACCTTCACTCCAGTGGAACAACGTGGTGGCGGAATTGGACCATCCAGAATTCGTAATCAAAGACAGACAGGGACTGTGCATATTGATTAGCGCTCTACGCCAGGGATTTCAGTCTCTAGGATTTCATCCGGAAACCTTTCCAGTCGATCACTTTTACAAGAGATGGGCTAATCTGGAGGGACAGTTCAGTTTGATCCAACAGATTCTGAAGAACTCCGACGTATTCTGTTTTGTCGATTATCCCTGCGTGTCCGTGGCAATTGACGTGTTGAAGACGCCACCGGAACAAGACAGCAAGGAATTGGCCAACTGGAGATCTTTAAATTTGATTGAGCTGCTTTTAAACGTGTCGGAGTTTGGCCTGTACACTCACGTTCAGGAATTATTTAAAGTGCCTGTTCACAGGTATAAATTGATAAAATAACTATTATTATTTTACTTTTTTTTTTTTGTTTAGCTGTCCCGATGTTTTGGTGTTGGCTCTACTGCAAATATCGGGGCCAGTTACTCTACTCAGACAAGAACTGTTGACAAATTTGATTCCGATATTTCTGGGGAATCATCCCAATTCCGGTATAATACTTCACCACGCTTGGCACACGCAAAACATCAATATCAAGCCGGTTATTATGCACGCCATGGCGGAATGGTATGTCAGAGGAGAATGCGATCAAACCCGGTAAGTTTCTTGCAGTTATATTATCTAAAAGATTGAAATTTTTAGGTATGGTGTTAATTTTTTTGTAGGCTATCTCGAATATTGGATGTGGCCCAAGACCTGAAAGCGCTCTCCATGCTGCTGAACGCCCAATCTGCTCAGTCATACCCGTTCATAATAGACCTGGCTTGTCTGGCTTCGAGACGGGAGTACCTCAAACTGGAAAAGTGGTTGTCGGACAAGATCAACGAACATGGTGAAGGCTTTATTACGGCCTGCGTCAAGTTCCTTCACAGAAGATGCCCCCAAATTGGAAAAGTAACAATTCAAATTAAACAAATAGGAAATACTAATTTTAAAGCTCTTTGTCTTGCAGGAGGACTTAAATTTAATAAATAAATCGGGTCAACTGCCCGCTGACACTCTAACCACAATGATGGTGTGTCTGCAGAGGTGTATGAATAACGTGAGTCCTGAGTGCCAGGAAGCCATCATAGCCGTGATCAACAGTTGTTCGATGTTGCTGAAGACGAGGCAGCAGAACCCGAACGCGCTCGTACGCAGCCGGGGCATAGACACCACCCTTAACCCGTCAGTCTTTGCCGGACAACTCTACAATCACGCCGGAGTGGACCAGATTCAAAGTTTAGGAACGAACTTGACCAATTTAAATCTGGCCGGTAAGTGATATCAATCAATCCAGTAACTTATTAGCTGATGAATTTTCGTTTAAAGGCCCAACAAACAATACTTTCAACTTACAAGGGGGTTTGGGTCCGCTGGTGCAGTCGCCCGCGTCCCCTTCGCGGCTCCTCAGCGGCCCCTCAAACAGTCCATTCCCCCTTTTGCCGATGCAGCATCAGGGACCCGTGGGCACCAGTTCATCGTTGGTGCTGGGAGTGAACCAAATAGGAAATTTGGGAAGGCTGGGCCCCACCGCCAACATAGACAAAACCCGTATCCAGGACTACAACCTGTTTCCCGAGGGATCGCCGCACGTGTCCAAGGAGATCGAGGATGAGGCCAACAATTACTTTCAGAGAATCTATAATCATCCCCCGAATCCATATTTATCGATCGACGAAGTTCTCAGTATGCTTAAACGCTTTCAGGATTCACACAACAAGAGAGAGAAAGAGGTTAAAAATTGTTTTGAAAAAATAAATACGTTAAATAAATAGGTAATTGTTCTATTTAGGTTTTTAATTGCATGCTGAAAAGCCTCTTTGAAGAATATAAATTTTTCCCGCAATATCCTGACAAGGAGCTCCAGATAACGGCTCAGCTTTTCGGGGGCATCATAGAAAGGGGTATCGTAACTTCGTATGTGACGTTAGGTTTGGCACTAAGATTCGTCTTGGAAGCCTTAAAGAAACCCGAAGGATCCAAAATGTACTATTTTGGAATAGCTGCGTTGGATAAATTTAAAACCCGTTTGAAAGAATATCACAAATATTGCGAACATGTGAGACAAATCCCGCATTTTAGGTAAGTTTGTAGATTTAGTGGTAAAAATAGTTTTTCCCGCGACTTCATCCGCATAAAATTCGAATTTATTATCTTATATATGTAACTCCTAACCACAAAAAAGACCTGCCAATACCTTTCTATTACATTACATAGGTACAGTACGTTTTTAACAATTTGCTAGTGTCTTGAAAATTTGTAAAACGGACACAACTGTCAATGACGTCTGCGTCCTCGCGCGTTCGTGTTGCGCATGCCAGAATAGCTCACAAATGGCTTTTCTTACTTCACACTTATCTGTTGATATTATGGTATCTAAACATATTAATATAAAGTGTTATATTTATTATAGCACCTAGTGGCAATATTTAAAAGCACTTATTACATGTGTCTAGTTGTAATTGATAGTCTTTAAATAAAGATAGTCGTTTGACAGAGTTTAACCGAACCGCGTCTTATTTTTCAACATTATCGTTATATTTTGGACAATTAACACAGTCTCATTATAAATTATAGCGTATGTATTAGTCTCGTGTACAAGCTGTATTATTCTAAAGTTTCATCCATTCAGTAGTTTTTGCGTGAAAGAGTAACAAACATCCATACATACAAACTTTCGCGTTTATAATATTAGTAAGTATAGACTTTGAAAAAGTATCATTATAAACGTAACTTTTAGCGATTTTCCTCAACACTTACAAGAGTACGTCGAATATGGATTGCAAGGCATGGAACCCCCGTCCAAACCCGAAGGCTCGGTCCTTCCCGCCAGTTTGGCCGCTATGTTAGCTCCGCCCAACGTCTCTGTTTCGCAAGTTTACAAGACTAACACTACAGTGAGCAGCACCGCGTCTAGTAAGACGAGTACCACCCCCGCCAGTACCCTTGGCAGTCGACCTTCCATCGCCAACGCCACCAACATCGACACTCTGCTAGTGGCCACCGAGAAAGAGGAAAAGGCTATCGCTCCACCCGAGTCTTTACAGGACAAGACCGCCTTCATTTTCAATAATCTGAGTCAGCTAAATCTGAAAACGAAATGCGACGAACTCAGAGACCTCGTCTCGGACGAGTACTACCCCTGGCTGTCACAGTACTTGGTGATGAAAAGGGCGTCTATCGAATTCAACTTTCACGGACTCTACTCGAATTTTTTGGATACTTTGGCCATAATTGACATTTATAAGATGGTTGTAAAGGAGACTTTTAGGTAAGGTCGAAAAATGCTCTATTTCTCAGCAATTTCATTGAATTTTAATTTTAGAAACATCAGGGTACTTCTTAGATCTGATAAAGCAATTGCAAATTTTTCCGATCGGTCTCTATTAAAAAATTTGGGACACTGGTTGGGAATGTTGACTTTGGCGCGCAACAAACCCATTCTACAGATAGAGCTCGACTTGAAATCGCTTTTGGTGGAGGCGTACCATAAGGGACAGCAAGAACTTCTATATGTAGTGCCATTTGTCGCCAAGGTACCATTATTTCATTTCATTTAATTTTAACAGTAAAGTTCTTACCCATAAATTATAGGTTTTAGAATCTTGTTCGAAAAGCAAAGTATTCAAGCCTCCAAATCCCTGGACTATGGCGCTTATGAACGTTTTAGCAGAGTTGCATTCTGAGCCAGACTTAAAGCTAACACTCAAATTTGAAATCGAAGTAAAAATTCCGTTTAATATTTTTTTTTAAAACAACGGAACTGAATAATTTTTTTAAGGTGCTTTGCAAAAACTTGGAAATCGATGTGGCCCAGTTAAAACCGGCTGTGTTTCTCAAGGATCCCGAAAGGATTCGGAAGATCGAGTATCAGTTGTCTCAGCCCGCCAAAAAAGAGCCCATTCTATCGTCCTCCCAAGGAAATCAAAGCAGTAGTCTGGCGGAACCAGAACTCGCAAATATTATTGCTGGCCAATCGACAAGTTCTCCGGTATTGGTTTGTTTCTTTTTACTTTTACTTTGTTACTTCTTTACTTATTTTTTGCTTCAACTATTTGTTTTTTTGTGTACTTTTTCGTTCTGCCGAAAAATATTTCTAACTTAAAATTTCGCACGAATTTCAGGTAATGCAAAATATCAGTACGACTCCCACTTCATCTATGGGAGCTCCTCCTGAACCCCGCTTCAGTTATTCCGACATTCAAATGACTGGGATGCAGGCCCTCCAAAACTACATCGTCATTTCGCCCAACATCCTGCTGTTCCAGAGCCACTCGCAGCTCAAGGGGCTGGTACGCACCGCGGTAGAACGCGCGGTACAAGAATGGATCGCCCCGGTCGTAGACAGGGCCATTAAAATATCGCTCCCCGCCTGCGAGAACATTATCCGGAAGGACTTTGCCTTGGAACCGGACGAAGAGCGGATGCGTCTCGCTGCCCACTACATGGTTTGTGTATTCGCTTGCTAAAATTCGTTGTTTTATTTAATATTTTTGTAGGTGCGGAACTTCACGGCTGGGATGGTGATGATCACCTGCAGAGATCAGTTGTTGACCGCGATTAACACTCATTTAAAACAGGCACTAAATGCCCAGATGGTGACACCCGGCGTCCAACAGAAGGACATGATAGAACAGGCCGCCAGCATAGTGGCCAGCGAAAACATGGAACTAGCCTGTGTCTTTGTCCAGAAAACGGCCGTGGAAAAGGCCATTCCCGAAATCGATAAAAGATTGATGAGCGAGTACGAATTAAGACGAATCGCCAGGAAAGAAGGAAGGTACGTATTTTTTGTGTTTTAAACTGGAGCGAAAACTAATACAGTACAACCTCGATAATCTGGATTAACAAAAACCAGGCTGACCCGGATTAAAATACAATCCCGATTATTGAAACAACAAATTTGTACAAGTATTACCTTTAAAAACAGATTTTATTTAAAAAATAAATCAAGTATAAGATATCTATTAAGAGACAAAAAATTTACGTAAAAAAGGTAAAACTTTTTTATTTAAATGTAATTTTAAGTTGTCTAACTTGACTGTACTCATTCACGAAAGTTGTTTCTTTGAGTCTTTGTAGAACCAGCATAATATATTGAAGAGAAACATTATGTTTTGCCCATTTCAGGCACAGAGTGGCCCCTTTATTTGTCTCATCATTTTTAACTAGAAGTTTCGTTTATAAGCATAACTTCGTTTATAAAGCATAACTTAGTCCGTTTTGATCCATGGGCTGGCATCGTCACTAGCCAAGTTATCAATAATCCATGGCTCCAAGCATTGTCAACAAGTAGAAGCACGCAAGTTGAGGCAAATTTTGATTTTTTAAACATAGTTTGTTCTTGGAAATTTTGATTTTTTTAGCACTTTTTAAACGTAAAACACGTGATACGGATTATCAATTTATTGAAAATCCGAACTACACATACACATGTTGTGGAAATGTTCATCTGGATTATCAAAGAGTTTGGTTTACCGAATTCGGAATTATCGAGGGTGTACTGTATTAAGTAAAATTTTCAGGTGTTATTGCGACACTATAGCTCTGGCTTACCAAGGCGATCACATGCCCGAACCGATTCGCTTAAAAGTGGGCAGTTTGACGGGGTCCCAAATGGCCGTGTACGAGGAATTCGCGCGGAACATCCCGGGTTTCCTGCCCAGCGAGCGGGACGCCGCCCTGCTCATGCAGAAATCGAGCATGGCCCCCCAGATGGAGCCTCAGTCGCACCCCGCCACCTCGTTCGCCGTCGGGCAGTCAGTGCTCGCCAATGACGAAGTGTCGATGCTGTTCGAAAAGCTGACGGCCGACGTGGACCAGTTCATCCAGCTGACCAGCACTCAAGCGCAGTACAGTCATATGTATCAGAACATGCTAGTGATCAGGGACTGTGTGTTTCATTTCTTGCGCACAAGGGACGTCAATCCTCCACAGGCTATTGTGCATAAGGTAATAATTTGTTGTATTTTATAATTCTTAAATCATTACAAATTAGATGGAATTAATTTCTTTTAATTTTAATTGCATGAAGCTAAACTTCGATTTTTTTAGTGTGTTGAGAGCTTGCAAGATTGTTTAGTTCCCACTCTAAGCGATAACGATCCTGTCGTTTTGCGTTTTAAGGAAGTGATCATTCGAATTTTGAAAGCCATACAAGGAATCGCAAGCCAACAGTGGACCAATAAACTCGTTACGAGGTTTGTTTCAAAAGTTTATTTTCTTATTAAAAATTAATACTGACATTTTTCCATTACAAGATATTTGACGGAATGTCGCGAGGAACAACAAAGATATAACATCGATGCCGTCGACACCTTGATAAAATCGGGACTAGTGAATGTGCCCCAATACGACATGGCGCTGGCCCAGTGTTTGGAAAACGGACTGAATTATATGGGAGTTAGTTTCGCTATGCAATTGGTCGAACTTTGCCTAATAAACGATAGGTAGGGATTGTTACTTATTGCTACTGAATTTCGCACAGTAATTGTGTCCTCGCAGGTCCGGCCAGTTTGTAACGGAAAGCGATTTGTGCAACACCGTCGAAGTGCTGGCCAAGATCCAAACTCAGACGAGACAACCTCCTGAAGGTCTCGGAAACATAATTGATATTATCAGACAAAATCCCGATACCGCTTTCTTTGGGGATCGGGCGCCCATGGGCCCCACCGTTCACATTCATAACGGCATTTTACAGGTAAGTTTTTTTCTATAAAAAATATAATTTAAACACTGCCTTTTGGCCTCTTTTCTTAGGTGCGCGCCCCGAACTACGAGGACCCACCCGGTCTAGTGGAAAAGACTGACTTCCTATTGCGAGAATGGATCAACATTTACAACTCGCAACATCAAGGCCGCGACTCCACCAAAGCCTTCAGTATTTTCGTGCACCAAATGAACGTGCACGGCATTCTAAAGACCGACGACCTAATCACCCGCTTCTTCCGCCTGTCAACTCAGTTGTGCGTAGAAACGGTTTACAGAGCGCTTCTAGACAAATCCAACACAAACATGTCAACGCGTCCTAAATGTTACCACACCCTAGACGCGTTCGTCCGCTTGGTGTCGCTGCTGGTCAAGCACTCTGGCGACGCCAACAATACGACCACCAAAGTACACCTTCTGAATAAGGTACTGGGCATTGTTGCTGGCTGTTTGTTGCAAGACCACGACACTAGAACCGTCGAATTCCAGCAGATGCCCTACCAAAGGATCTTCACCATGCTCTTCCTGGAACTGAACGCCCCCGAACCCATCTTGGAAGCCATCAACTTCCACGTGCTCACCGCCTACTGCCACACCTTCCACATTTTGAGGCCGTCGAAGGCGGCCGGTTTCTGCTACGCCTGGCTCGAGCTAATCTCGCACCGAGTTTTCATCGGCCGCATGCTGGCAACCACGCCCCAGCAAAAGTGTTGGCCACTGTTCGCGCAGCTCTTGGTCGATCTGTTCCGGTATCTGGCTCCGTTCCTGCGCAACGCGGAACTCGCCAAACCCGTCACCATGCTGTACCGGGGCACTCTCAGAGTACTTCTGGTGCTGTTGCACGATTTTCCCGAGTTCCTATGCGACTACTACTACGGCTTCTGCGACGTGATTCCGCCCAACTGCATCCAAATGCGGAATCTCATCCTATCCGCTTTTCCGCGAACCATGAGACTGCCCGATCCGTTCATTCCCAATCTGAAGGTCGATATGCTTCCCGAAATATCTTACGCGCCTAGGATCAACACCAATATTTCCCTTACCATTTCACCGGCCCAGTTTAAGAAGGACCTGGACTCTTATTTGAAGGCTCGCGCCCCCGTCACTTTCCTGTCGGAGCTCCGGAGCAATTTACAAATTTCCAACGAGCCCGGCGTGCGTTACAATATATCTCTGATGAACGCGCTGGTGTTGTACGTGGGCACGCAGGCCATCGCCTACATCAGGAACAAGGGCCTCACGCCCAGCATGTCCACAATCGCGCACAGCGCTCACATGGATATTTTCCAGAACTTGACCGTTGACTTGGATACCGAGGGGCGTTACTTGTTCTTTAATGCCATGGCCAACCAGCTGAGATACCCCAATAGCCACACCCACTATTTCTCCTGTACGTTCCTGTATCTGTTCGCGGAGGCCAATACGGAAGTGATTCAGGAGCAGATAACGAGGGTTCTCTTGGAGAGATTGATCGTGAACAGGCCCCATCCCTGGGGTCTTCTTATCACGTTCATTGAACTCATCAAGAATCCCACCTACAAGTTTTGGCAGCACCAGTTCGTCCACTGCGCTCCGGAAATTGAAAAGTGAGGAAAAGAAAATCTATTTTTTTGGGGATTGCGTTAAACGATTTGCGTTTTGTTTCAGATTGTTCGAGTCTGTAGCCCGGTCCTGCTTCGTGAAGACTTCCGTGCAGATGCAACAGGAAACTGAAGTGCCAGAATGACGTGACGTATATATGTAAAAATAGGTTTGTTGATTTGAAGGCAGTGGCAAAATCACATTTTAGTTTTAATTTTTTGATTTAGATTATTGTATATGTTTTACGTTAGAAATTTAAGCATTTTATAATAAAATTTAGGTACTTATAAATACTGTGAATAAAAATGTTGCACTAAAAACAAATTGTTTTTTTTTAGTTATTTTTATTAAAATTTGTTCGCTTTGTACATAGTTTTTATACATATTTAAAACATCTGCTCTAAAATGGATGAAAGAAGATCCCCTTAAGTTCATTATCGCATAACTTTTTGACCTCCTCTGAAAAAAAATATTAAATACCATATGATTTTAAAAATAATTATTTAAAGAAATTGTTGGAATAAATAGGTTGTTCTTATACCGTATGATCGACAAAAAAACGGCGTCAACGATGGCTATGAAATGAGGTCGCTGTAATTTTATGTGGGAAATGTCATCGATCGTCAGCTCCCAGCCAACTGGACGCCGTTTTTTTTATCATACGGTATTAGCTATAAGTACCGTATGATCAAAGAAAAAACAGCGTCCGAAGAAATGATCAAGAAAAAAGGCGTCAGTGGCTATGAAATGGAGATTGCTGTCATTTTATATGTAAAATTATATGGGAAATGTCATCAATCGTCATTCCCAAGCCAACTGGATGCCGTTTTGTGTTCGATCATACGGTACAATATGCTAAAAAAAAAACCACGTTAGCGACGGCTATGACGATCGCTGTCATATGTAGAATTATGTGGGCAATGTCATTGATCAGCATTTCCAAGCCTACTGGACGCCATTTTTTTCGATCATATAGTACTTACCACTTATCTTTATCAAATTAGCATTTTTCGTTTGTAAAACTATGTAAAACTCCCTAAAATTACTATTTTTTCCGACCACCCAATAGTCGTTTTTAGTTTTTACAATGCTTTCTCCGGCCCGTCCAAGAAATTCGTTTTGATCTTTCATATCAGCCATAATTTTTAGAGAGTCTTTACTACAGGTACTATTTTCGGTTTGCTTATTATCTAGATGTATCTAGAAAAAAGTTTTTTTCGTAAAAAAACCTGTCAAGATCACAAAATCATGTTTTAACTCACCGTACTTTTATACGCCAAATTAATTTTGTTAAAGTAAATAAATTTAGGAATGGTATCTCCACTGGTTATTGATGGCATAATTTGTTTGGAACAATATTCCGCTATTTCTGCAACCACACAAGACAACCTGGGATTTATAAGTTCATCCAATTCTTTAAACAATTCTAGAGTTAAATTAGTGTCGCCTAAAAAATATATTTAGCAAAACATGACGGTATTTTTGGAAAGACTTACCTTTAATAAATATGCAAACTGTGGCACTCAAACATCTATACACAGCTAAATGATGCTCCTTAAAGCAGTCGTTTGAGAAGAGGTACACTCTGGGTACAGTGCCGACAGTTTTCGCTTGTTTTAAATTTGTCGGTCCGGTAATAAAACGGCCACGTTTTAATGTAGCAAATGGAGAATTTCTTGGCATAGAACCTCCTTGAAGTTCAGTCTCGATGTTTGCGGGCAACAGCATCCCTATTAAATACTGATACATCACTTTCATATCATTTGGCTCGATACCGCTCCTACAACCAAAGTCTAGTTGTTTTGGCACTTTTTTAAAAGAATACTACTAGACCAAGAACAGTTAGATAACCTAATAGGACTGCTCATTCAGCCGAAAGTGTCTGCCAGGTGCACGCGAAAACTCCTCGCTTTGTGGCGTCAGTCGTAGCCCTACACGGATTCTTTACCATTCGGACTGTGTGACTTAATTATTTTGTCGATTTTAATTGTGAAAAAGGTGTTTTTTGAGCTATAGAGTATTATTATTTATATGCTTTCATTTTGTGTTGTGCATTGTGACTAAGGGCTTACAATATTGTTTATTAACTATTTTAAAGCAAAATATGGGAGCACTCAAAGAATGCCTACAAAAGGTGATGCTAGGAACTGCTGTTCTTAAAAATGCATTATGCGAGTACTTAATACGATTTATACAGTTCATTTCCTATAAGCTGTTTAAATAAATAAACTAAATAATTAATGTATTGCTATATACTTTTACTAAAATTAAACGTGTTTAGACGTTGCAAATTTGCATAAATTGGCATTAACAGGGTACAAAAAGGCATAGAATATTTTTACGTTACCAGATTGCAATTTTTTTATTTATTCCTAACAAACCAAACCAACTGATAATGCCTAAGTTATTTCAAATCTTACTTCAAGTATCACAATTATTAGGGCACCTACAATTATTAGGCCTTCTGGCACTAAATTAAAATAAATTACCATTTTAATTAAATTAAATTAAACAACACTGCGTCTAGAGTACATGGTAGTTATATTCCTTATAATTCACTAACAAATACACCGTACCTACATACAATTCTCATATCATTTGATGGTCCTACACTTGTGATCACCAATTTTATTTATATCTATTCATAACGGCGCGAGAAAAGAATAATAAGAGGTTTTAAGCACACACATCATTTTGCAGGCATTCTATTTAGAGTGCTTCCGTGTTTTGCTTTAAAATAATTAATAAACAATACCGTCGGCACATAGTCACAATCACAATCCACAACACCAAAAGTATTTATACACTTTATAGCTCTAAAAAAATTGTGTGTGCACTATGTGCGCATATTTAAAGTGAAAGGTCTTACTTTGGTCTGCCTGTCTGTGCGTCTGATGACTCCATACAGATACCACGTGCCGAGTTTGGTGCCAATCGACCCATAATTAAAAAATTCATGATGATTTGGTACATTTAGAGGCATTGGTTCGAAACGTCGAGGGCGTCATCCAGTAGCCTGTCCCCAATTATGCCGAAATCGACCCACATTTTTCTTCAATATCAAATCGTTAGTCCCACCCTGATGACCTTTATTGGTTGAATTTAAAGACTTCGATTGGTTAGAAAATTACGCAGTTTTTAAATTTATTGCATTTTCATGGCTCCTATACGATTTCCTTGTAATTGGTGTCATTTCATATTTTCATTTCCATAACGATTTCGCTGTTTACGTATAGTCTAAGACATGTCTAAGAGCTAGCAACGTTTTCGAGAGAGAATTTTAAGAAAGCTGCTTCTTTAATATATCTTTTGCTATGCTCTCCTGAACAGAGTGCGTCTGGCTGCCGGTAGACGTTGCGTTCACTAGATACTGCGCATCATATCTGTACTCAATATCTGTTCACTACTGCGCATCACAAATTCGGCCTGTATTTTAGGAACTAAGGAAGGAGGCTAGGACCAACATATGTGAAGCATATTTAGTTTCATAAAAAAGTAGCATGAGTAATATGAAAATCACATCATTGTATCTCTACTGATAAACGAAAAATCCCATAAAACACACGTAAATGGGATACCCTGTACAGATGCTATGCGCAGTAGTCTACCAGCAGCCAGACGACCCGCACATTGGAAGGAGAGCATAGCAAAAGATATATGTATTAAAGAATCACCTTTCTTAAAATTCTCGTTTTCCCGACAGTGCTAGCTCTTGTATTACTCTATTATCTTTGCTCTTGTACTATTATCAACTATTATATCTTTATTAATGTTAGATTAAATTTGTCACAAAAGTGACGTTGACGGGCTGGAATAAAACATTTATGAATGAAAAGTGGCGCGAAAACGCTATGATCAAAATCAGAGCGCCGTCTGACCATCATATCAACGGATAACGGACGCATGAAAATCCTGACTGATCCTGACGCTTATCGTGTGTCACGGCCTTCAATGTTTACTCCCATCGCGCGTAAAGAAATTCCACTTCAAAACCTTAAAAAGGATACCTTTTTCGCAATTAAAATTGACAAAATAATTGACGCACAGATACACACGGAAATGCAGGAAATCGGAGCTGCAGGGCGGGAAATAGCGAATGAACGTCTTGTGTGGATGTGCAATCGTATTAGTTTACCGTTCTTGCTGCTAGACTGCTTACCATATTACATGCTCATTATATAAAAATGTTATCTCTTCTATACATCCATAACTTGATTCTAATAAGTTAACAAAACATTGAACTTTTAAAAAAGTTTGTCTATCCAGTGGAAGATACTGAATACCCCCATAAAGGTTTAAAATATCTGCATTTGATAACTTTACAGTTTTAAGATACTAAAATAAGCACTGTAAATTTTAAATTCCTTCAAATATTGAAAAAGTATATAATATATTATTACTCACCGCATTAAAAAATGTATCTAATCTGTTTCTTAAAATATCTGCATTGCCTGTGACTAGTGTTTGTTCCAAAGTACCCCAAAATAATCTATACATGTAATAAGCTTGGGAAAGTATGGCTTCATAAACATTATCTTGGATATCTTCTTCCATATATTCATTAGAGCTAACACTGTCTTTAATCTTCGTTACTAGAGGAACACTAAGAGTCTAAAATATGTTTAGGAAGGCATTAACTAATTTCAAACTGTACCAGTATCTCACCATTACAATCCAGAAATTTAATTCGGGTTGGAAATATAACTGCCTTAGTTTATTTGTATGTAAAGAGCTGACATAGCTGCTAGGCCTGAAAGTTCTAAAATGGAAAAACTTTAACATGAGAAATATTTGGGTAATAATACAGAATTTACTCTGTAAATTGAACAATTCCTTCGACGAGACCAATATTCTTTATCTGAATTTCTGTACTCTCTCCAAATGGATAATAATATAATATCTTTTTGTACTCTTCATTCTCTTTGGCTCCATAAGATGAATTAAATATAAAGAAATTTTTAATCTCTATGTTTTTCTTGTTATCCATAGTAAGAATGATTTATCTATTAGCAGCTTTTTATTACTTTAAAATCATTAAAAATCATAGAAACATTATTAGACAAAAATATTTTACACCTACAATAAAATCACAGAATAAAATCAAAGATTTAATTTTCATGTTTTGAATGAAGTAACTCAGCTGTTTACAGTTTACTCATCAGCTGATAAACTTGTTTATTTGGTCACATACCATTAAATTGAGAGCAAATATTTAAAGCATTTACATATTTTGAATGTTTTATATTGATATGACAAACTGAAGTAACAAAATAATATATAAAAAAGGACCAACATTTGTAACTTTCACCACAGAATTGACTTCTACTATTTAACTAGCGATTACATGTGTGTATACAGTACACAAACTTCCAATCTCGTAAATTGATAATTGGTTTACTCAATTTTATTTATGAAGACTTTCCCACACCTTTAACAAATTTGCTTCTAGATTATTTCCTATAATTTCCAACAATTACTTCAGGAGAAATATGATTTTTATTTCTCCTCAGGGTTTCAGTCAAGGGATTTCAGTAGGTATGATCATGGTATGACGAGTTGCCTAAAAATAGTTTGAGATTATTTTAAAAGTTTTCTGAGTTTTCTCACAACCTTCTATTATAAATAAACCATAATAAACTTCAAGATATCAAATCAAGGATGTACTATTATTAGTTTGTTGCTGTTATTTGTTAAGGAAATGTTTCTTTGTTAAAGAATTTTACTATAATGATTGTAAACTTGTAAAAGGTAAGAATGTATGCTGCATTGATATAATAATCTAATGGACCTATGTTTAAACAATGACTATTCTATTTTACGCCTTTAGCCATTCCTTGCTGTATTAATTATAAATAAAAGTGTTTGACACTTTTAATATCAAGTATATTTTAAGAATGGCCATTGCTGCTTATGCTATCGGATTAAAAATAAATTGTAAATTTTTATTACGTACATTCTGAGATAAATTGCATTAAATTTATAATGGCACAATAATTATACCTACTTTCTTGTACTAAATTTATTTTTTTTTCAGATGCAAATGAGTTATTCTCTGTACTTTCTATTCTTGTTAATAATTCCTACTCACTGCCTTTTGCCCCCTGATGACAGTAGTTGTCACAACCATTGTTTTCATCAGCCTTCCGAATCATGCCCACCAGTAACAAGTCCCTGTAAGTGCCAGAGATTATCAAACTGTAATAATGCCGCAGTTTGTTGTAATGTTAACGCCTTTACTTTAACTGAAGGCCTAGCCTGTGCCAGTAAGTATACCTACTTAAAAATTTGTAATAGGTAAGTTGTTTTTACATTAGGATAATCATATTTCTAAATATAAATTATTAATCACTTATGTGCCAAGTGTAAGAATGTAATAAAGTAAAAAATACCTACTTACCTGCACTGAATATTTAGAATTAAGCAGCATGAAAAATACTATCTACAAACTATCTCAACATTTCAACTAACGTCTAGCGTTAATAGCATACCTACATCTTTTAGAACATATATTTCAATAACAAAGCATTTAACATAAGAATGTCAATATACATTTAACTATTTGAATTTCAATTAGCAATTTGGGTATTTTTTATAGGTCAAAATTTCTATCTTTTTACTGGCAACAGTGGCAACATGCCTGCTGCCCAGATTTTCTAAACTGTTTGAACTTTGTATGTGTAATAGACTAAAAAAGTTTTTAATGAAGTTTATGGATATCATGGTATATAGAGGGAAGATCCACGAATACTGCCATATATCAGTTTATCAAATTAGTTATAGATCATTTGGAATATGGTGAATTGGCGGTGGGATTGTTCTTAGGTCTTTCTAGGGCATATGATTGTCTGGGAAGATACTTATAAGAAAACTAGAATCATATGGAATAAAGGGCTCCGCAAAAAACTAGCTGGCATCGTTCATGTTTGACAAATCTCAGATGGTGGTTATTACAAAAGACAGAGAAACCTTTCAATCAACACAATTGTCCATAAACATCGGTATATGTGTTTTGTGATCGGCATAGTACAGGAGTACAGGGAAGTATTTTAGAACCACTGCTATTTATGATATTTGTGAGTGACCTTAATATGGTAACCAGTATGTACGGCAAACAACGGCAAATCACGCTATTGTGAAATACGCAGATGGTACGACTCTTTAACAGATGCAAATTAATGTACAAAAAGTTGTTGAGTGGTTCAATGCGAACAAACTGATTTTGAACCAAAACAACCCAAAAGCAATGTTGTTCTGGACAAGAGGTTCCAAAATAAAAATACCTAGTTCTAGTTACGTCAATGACGAAACCACTGAATACTGTGTTTTATAGTTTGATTTTATTTCTTCTCACAAATTAAAACCGCCAAAAAATCGCTAAACCGCTAAATGATTTTGTTACCCGCTAAATTAAAAAAAAACCGCTAAATCTAGTAAAAGTATAATTTTTTTGAAAACCATGTAGAAATTATGATATGAACTAACAAAACCTGTAAATTTTCCTCGCAAAGGAACATTTATATGTATGTTAATTATTTTGTTACTGTATAATCATGATACAATCTGTACAATTATTTTGTTTTTTCATATTAAGGTGCGTTCATACCGGCTGCGCCGTTCCGTGCTGCGCCGCGCAAAACCTTTTTTAAACATGTACTTTTGAAGTTTATTTTTTTTAGCGCGCACAAAAATATATGTTAAAAAAATGATTTGAGCGGCGCGGAGCGGCGCAGTCGATGCGAACGCAACTTTAGATACAAATTACAACTTGATTTAATAGATGACATTTAGTAAGGCTATAATAATTAAGTGTATCAGAAAATACTAACTTTAATTTAATCTAGTGCTTTGTATAATTTAGTTTTTTAACAGACCTATTAAATGAACCATATGAACCTATTGAACGATCCTATGAAATGAACCTATTAAATATTAAAAAAAAACGCCTTCCAGTTAGCTTAAGTCCTCTACTCATGCGGCAATTTCTTGTCAATCTGCAGGGCACAATTTGCAGGCACCCTGCAGATTGCTTTGTGTGTAGAGTAATTGTAACAATAATAAGGGACAATTTGCAAATTGGCGATTGGCTCGGCTGCCCAAACCATTTTATTTCCGATTCCTGCAAGTTGGGACGAGTGTAGAGCGCGCAAGAAAATTCCACAGAAACCGACTGGCGGTGTATCGTTTCGTTTTGTTTTAAGTATTAGTAGCAACTGTTTTAAAGTGAACAAGATGTTGGCCCTAGAGGAAGAAATGGACGCAAATTTTGACCTTTATAAGGACATGCCTTTCCTTTGGGATAAGCAAGATGCCCTTTCCTTTGCCTTAACCAGTTTTTGATCCACCGCCTTCTTTTATTATGACTTGGAATTACAGACATTGCTAATGCAATGCCAACTTTTTGTTTTTTTTGTTAAATATGGAGCCATAATAATATCACAAAGCTCACAACTTTGTTGTCTCTTGAACTGATTGCTGTCCTGCTAATTGCATCGTATGGAGGGGAGCGCCAATTTGATACAACACACAATCTGTTGGGTCCTGCTAACTGAAAAAAAATTTCCGCGTGAGTAGGGCACATTAGAAATCTCATTCCCAGTACAATTTATTTTACATACCTATTAAGGCGCGTATTCATTATTCGAACGAACGAATGAAGGAACGAGCGAACGAGTGGAATTCGGTATATTTGGACGGGCAACTGAACGCATGCGGCCGTTCGTTTGCTCGACCATCCGTTGCGAGTCGGTACATCAAAGGCTTCGCAAACAAATGAGTAGATGTTATTCGTTCGGTTCTAAAATTCGGTCCCGTCCATTCTACTACCGAACGAACCAACGAACGATCGTTCGTTCGTTCGGATAGTGAATACGCACCTTTAAATGATGGCGATCTTGATTTCATAGCCATCGTTGACGTGTTTTTGTTGATCATATTTTACTAAAATGGATATTTCTTTTAGATATTAGCTCAACGACAGATATAAAAGCTTTACACATACGTAATGCTACATTCGAGTCGTTCAATCTTACCGTGCACCAGCAAGTTTGGAGAGTTCTTCTGTATATGACCATTACCAATGGCAACATTACGCGCATCGACGGCAAATTGCCAAAATCCACTAAAATATCCTGTTTGGATTTGTCTTCGAATCATATTAACTCGATCGAAGAACGAGCACTGGGACAGTTGTATAATTTAAGCTTTCTCAATTTATCTCACAATAATTTAACGCAAGTGCCTAGTATTAGAATGGAAAACGTCACCGTGGATATATCCAGTATGTTGGCAATGCATTACTTAACAAAGATCTGCTTTATGTTTTCTTTTGACCAGATAACACTAATTTGGCGTGCTCAAATTTGAAAGTAAAATTAGGCAACTCAAAGTTGACATTTACCAATGAAAATGAAACGTTTTGTATCACCTCTAAGGATTTCGCATGGTTTCAAACAACGGCCACTTTGCCCTTCTCTCAACTTAAACGAGTTCACGAAGTAAATTATCCTTAAAGTTTTTTTTATTTCAGTTATAGAGACATTTATTGTTTTAGCTACAAAAAAATTGCGTCCTCAATTGTACCTGCAGCATGTATCGACTGAATCTGTCCCAAGTAAAACTTGCATCTTTTGAAGTGGCTGTGAATTGTTCAAATAAAAAATTTTCGGCCTTACCAGTGCCACTACCGCCTAATACCATTTTCTTGGATGTTAGCAGTAATAATGTAAGTAATTCGTAAGTTTAGTGATGAAGGCGTATTAATAATAATGATCATTCAAATTTACTCAGATAACATCCATAAAAGAATTGAAAAGTGAATCTTCCTACGAAAACTTACGTTATTTTTATGCAGACAATAATCAGATATCTTCTTTAAAACCTTTAGAAGGAACTAAGTTTATCAATAATTTTGATACACTAAGCCTACAGAGAAACAAAATTAAATTGGTAAGAACTATTTTAATAACGTTTATTTCAAAACTTATTTAGTGCATATCAGTTAGATACCTATGTTTTGGATAACATACAATTTGAACGGAATTTCAACCAAAGAAGAGTCCGACTAGGTTTCAACAATTTACACTGTGACTGCAGTACTAAGAAGCTGAAGGTGCAAAACTGTTTCTTAAAATGTTGTATTTTTATGCAAGTAGTTGAATATTTTGCAGGTATGGCTTTTATCAAAATTGAGTCATATACCTGATCATGACGATATACGTTGCGAGAATATGAATGCCAAGGTTACTGAGTTGGATCCATCGAAATTGTGTCAGAGCCCTCAAGATTGGACTGATTACATCTACTATATTATTACAGCAGAAGTTTTACTATTAGTTGGTCAGTGCTTTGGTATTTAATTATTATACCAGTACCATATTATATAGGAATTTCTTTACAGGATTAATCGTCAAAGTATCATATGATTACTGGGTGTTTAAAACTGCTGGATATTTACCATGGCCAGCCAGTAAGATGCCCAGGTTACCGTGTGACTGGTTGTGTGAATAAAAGACTTGTTAAATTAAACTGGAGTTATAAAAGTAAATAATGTAAATTTTATTGACAATCGTAGTTTAATATACTTTTTCATTTTTAAAATATTTGTTAATATAAGTAGTAGTAATGTACTCCTTCAAACTTGGAAAAAACCGAAAAATTGTGTAGGTTGTCCAAATTTTAAAACTTCAGAACAATAAGAAGTAAAGCTGATGTTAGTGATATTCCTAATAAGGAACAGATTAATACACAAGACACATTTTTCTTTTTGTTTTTTTTCTCTACCTAAAAAAATAACAAATAATCTGAAATAATGTACTAATCTATTATAAGTTACAAATTTGATGAGAGAGATCCTACATTTAACTCCACTTCATTAATAACATTCTCTAATGACAGCAAACAATTGTTCACACTGATACATATTGGTTCCAGTTTAACATTGGCTAGATCAACGACACTTTTTGAGAAATATGATGTATTGGCAAAATGCTTATTCAAATGAATTGATATTTGGTTCAGTATTAAACATAAATAAGGCCCATTTATTTTAAAATTATGACTCTGCCTAAAAACCCGTTTTTTTTTGGTAAAATTAGATTGGCTTATGAATAAAATTTTAGTAAAAGTAAACATATGATTAATTTTAAATATCTTTCTAAACTATCTTTATTAAGAACCTACTTACTCTGCATGTAGTTGCATATTCTTTGATCGTGATAGGATTTTATTTCTAGTTTCTTTATCACATATTTCCAAAAGTAATAAATCCTCGTTATTTAACAGTTTAAGGTCTTTGTAATTTATGTTATTTTTTCTAAATTTATCAATAAATTCTACAGAATCACATGTCCTTAAAACTGTTTCTAAAAGATCCATTTTTGCCTTTGTTTATCGATATCGATAATATAAATTTTAGAAAAATATTGGGTTAAGTCCATGGTTGCCAACACAGTTGCCACAGACAGTTGCCAACTCTGGAAATGATCTGCAGTGAAGTGCAGTGGGATTACTACAGCGCAGGTACAGCGCTTAGGGTGCAGCCACACTATCCTAAAAACGGCGTATCGGCGTAACGACCTTGAATAGATTTCCAGTAATTCTATTGGCTGAAACATTCATCTGTCATAAATTTTATCTGTCAAATTCATCTGTCAAAAATTTCAGCCAATAGAATTACTGGAAATCGGTTCAAGGTCGTTACGCTTGTGTTACGCCGATACGCCGTTTTTAGGATAGTGTGGATGCACCCTCAGGACATTCTCGTGCGATTTATTAATTTCATGATAGAGAAAATCTTAAAATTACGAAGGCTAAAAGTGTGGCTAAAAGGCCTCTATACTTAAAATCACAGAACTTAAAATTATACAAAACGTTGGGTATGCAATCAGCATAGGCAACATCATGAGGCAACATCAAATACATTTAAATAAAACTTTATTTTAAACGTATTTGGGCAACATTATAGGCATAGGCATCAGATAATCACACAGAATATAGAGATAATCAGTCCCAAGAATCTGACAAGTAGACCTATGGACCTATGAGTAGACCTAGACTTGCAGGATTTGCAGTAGTTCATTTGACACATCTGACACATTCGGTTCGGTTTGTCATTTTTCCTGCCCCCCACTTTTTTGTTTCTTTTTTTTAAATTAAAGTTAAAAATCTCCCGGGGTTTTAAAATGCCTATTAGTAAATATAGCATTGTTACTAGAAGTGCAACATGAATAAAGATGGGGATAATTATATGTGATATTAAAGAAAACAAATGGCCAATATACTAGTGAAATGGCATTAATGATTTACACTTTATACGGTTTTGCAATATTCTTTTTCGTCTTTTGGAGTGTTATGTGGTTACTACATTTAATAGCAATATTTTATGGGTAAGTGAGCATTATTTGTTGATATTTTAATATTTTAACCCTATAACAAAATATTAAGCAGTAAGTAGGTACGTTTTTTTTTCAGAAAATACCGACTGCACAAAAAGGTAGAAGATAAACAGGGAGACGATTGTTATCCTGGCATTTCTATTTTAAAACCCCTAATGGGTACAGATCCTCATTTAGTTTCTAATTTAGAAACATTTTTTACTATGAGATATCCCACGGTAAGTTTTGTTATTATTTTAACAGGCATTTCTAAAAAATGTACTTTTGATTTTTAGTACGAAATATTGTTTTGTGTAGAAGATGAGAAAGATCCTTCAATTGATGTCATAAATAGTTTAATAAACAAATATCCAAAAGTTGTAACTAAACTGTTTATTGGAGGATCATTAGTGGGTGTTAACCCTAAAATCAACAATATGCATAGAGCTTATGAAGCATCAAGTTATGATTTCATTCTTATTTCTGATAGTGGAATTCGCAGTAAGTGTTAAAAAATTAATTCTTACCCAGTACATTAAGTTTTTTTATTCTTAAGTGAAAGAAGATACGCTCCAAGATATGGTAAATCATATGACTGAAAAAACAGGTATAGTACATCAGATGCCTTTTACATGTGACAGAAATGGCTTTGCAGCCACTTATGAAAAGGTAATTTTTTAATAATGATTTTGTGATTTCAAATTTCATTTGTTCACTTTGTTGTAGATTTACTTTGGTACTGCACAAGCTAGAATGTACTTAGTAGCAGACTGTTTACGAATTAATTGCCATACAGGCATGTCAACTTTAATGCGTAAGCAAGTATTAGAAGATTTAGGTGGCATTAAAACTTTCGGATGTTATTTGGCAGAAGATTTTTTCATAGCAAAAACTTTTATTGAAAAGGGATGGCGCACGGCTATCAGCAGCCAGCCAGCGATGCAAAATTCTGGCAATTATGATGTCCATAGCTTTCAAGAACGTCTCACAAGGTATGTCATTTTGCTCTATTTTTTTAGTATCATTTAATATTTATTAGAAAACCCTATTTAATTATGCAAGGTAGCTATCAAACTAATCACATAGCTAAAAGCCTTTTTTTAAGATTAAATACTATTAAAATTATATTATCATAGCATTATAAATTGATCTAGACTACTATGTTGAACATAATTTTGGCAACCGAGTAAAAAATATATTTGGAAAACAGGTTTATCCTGCCACAAGTCTACATATTTATTATATGTATATGTTTTTTTTAATAGATTGACACCTAACGGCAATAAGAAAGATTTTTATTGTATGATAAAGTAACTTCGGTAAATGGAGTAACTTTTAGGGTGTGTAACTTCATGAGGATACTTTTTTATATATTTTTTTGCATTCACAAATTTGTTAATGCACTCAAATCAGAACAAATTACATATTAGTATTTGAGTAGATTAATTTTGGATGAAATACATTATGGAAAAAAAGTTATTTATCACATTTAAAATATATTAAATCTCTATATAGCTTTGACAAAAACTGTTTAAAAAAATGTCTACACTAAGCCAAGTTAAGTTTTTTATTTTATGTAGGAAAACACACCAGCAATTCCATTAAAATCATGCGGAGTTGCTCTTGATAGTTGACACAGATTTTGACATCAATATTAACTTGTCATTTTGCCGCATCTGCACTTACTTTAATATAGGATTAAAAATATCTTTATACACGATCAATCAAAAAGTCACGTATTTTTATTTATAATTATATACATTTAAAAACGTTTGTTCTTATATTAATTATATAAACTGTTCCTGCTATCTATATAAGTCACTGTTTTATGAATCATCTATAAATGTATCTCTAGGAATTTTTTATTCTGTCAATTACCAAAAACATGTTTTTTCAACAATATACAATGGAAATTATTTTTATCAAAAATAATGTGTTACGGAAATGTAGACTTATATTGCTGATAGACAAATCCAGGTAGACAAATAAATAATAAATGATTTAATTTTGAAACACTTCCCCAATTTAATTTTTGTCATCTAGTATTTTGATGTGCGATTAGTCACATACCTAAGTTTTTATTTATTTAACAAATAGTTACCAGTTATCTCATTTATAAATAAAGGCGCAGAAATAGGTGTACATGTTATTTTAAAGAATTTGTGTCAAATTTAATGGTATTATATTACTCATATTTGTTTGCTTTTTAGTAACTCTTCACAACAAACTCGATATCTCATAATTACTAATTTTCAAAATGTACTATTTATTGCTTTCTTGATATTAACTGTCAAAAAGTATATAGTACTTAGGAAATAGGAATATAGTTAAAAGACATTTTTAAAAACAAACTAGGTATATCTTAATGTAAATAATTTTATTTCTATATTTTTTACACATTACTAACATATTTAAACTAGCTGTTGTGACCTAAAATAAATAAATAAAATTTTGCTGTTAAAAGGCAGTAAATGTTATGGTGTCATTAATTTTAGTATTATAAAAAATTTTTTTAAAGCTTTAAATATGTTTAAAACCTACGTGCATAAAGAATGAATATTCTGACATTAAAAAAGATTTCCTGAGATTTAGCCAGTACAACATAATACAAAAATTACATACCACTAGAAATTAAAACTGATGTAATTTTTAACACTACAATTACGTACCAATCAATATAAGAATTTAATAACATATTATCATAATTAGTCTACCTGCATATTAAAGTTAATTCCTCAAAAATTGTCAAAAAATCAAGCTACCAAATTCATAATCAAGAGATAGATATTGGGATGTATATAAGATATCTACATTATTGAATTATAATGTTATTTAAGTTATATATGTAAATAATAAAAAAAATTGAACGTGTATGTTGAATGGTTAATAAAATTTTATTTAAATTAGAGTGGCATGATGTTGAATAATTAAGATTTATGAGTTGTAATCTAAGCGTGTTATATAATAGGTAATAATAATCACAGATAACATAGTATACTATGTTATCTGTGGTAATAATAGAAATTTGTATTTAATCGTTCTTTTAAATACTATACGTTTTAAGAAATAGATATTATTTATACATAAAAATATCTAAAAATCTAACGTGAGAAGAATGCTGCTTTTTAACGATACATAAACTATAGTAATTGAAAATTTGCAATTTTGTGATTCATATTCAGTAGTGTATCCCAAAGGAAAACAATTTAACTGGAAAACCCATTATTGCGTAAAACTCATGTGTAATATGTATTGCCTTTATAAAGAGTAAAAATTTATCTTGGTTTTATACCAGGTTTTTAGAGATTATTATGTAACTGAAAATTATAAAAAGAAATGAAAATTAAAAATCGGCTTATTGTAAAATAATAAAATATATAGATATTAATTATTAATTCCTTCACGTTAGAAGATCACGTTATTGATATAAATTTATCATAATAGCACTTTCGTCCTTGTTGCTTGATATGTTCGACATAGTAGTCATAGAATAAAAGGTATTTGTCGTATTCTTATTAAATTGGTGTATGTTTCCTTTGTAAAATTTTATTTTAATGCACCCTACTAATTAGTGATCGTTGCTACACAGAATAACAAAATAAACAAAAAAGTTTTTCATTTCTAAACCTAGACAATAAAATAAAAAATACAGATTTTTATACAGGGCGTTTCAAAAAACATGTGCTATCTCATGCGGAAATTCCTCACATAAAAATAAGATTTATTTTTATTTGATTTTTTTTCTATATTTTAACATAGGGGTCCGATTCTGTTTTGTTTCGTGGTTAAATTCTTAATTTTTTTTCGATTTATTATAATTTTCTTCCAAGAGCTTTTAGAGATTCGAATAAAATTATGAGGGTAAAAGTTACTATAAGTGCTACATATTTTAGTGCTAAAAAAGTGTCGAATGATTGACCAGGGACGTGCATCTGGGTTATTAGTGGGATATATTTCTTAAAAAAACGAGCGCCGCTGACTTTTTTTCTCTTTTATAAAACTATTTAGGCCGATTAATAGTTGTATCTTGATATTTTGTCAATTTCGATCTTCTTCATGAGATAAACGCAATTTTTTTAATCGCAATAAAATTATAATAAATTATTTATTTAATCTATTTTTATATTAAATTTTATTAAAATTTACAACACTGATGGTCAGTGCCACCTACAGCAAATTCATGAAAAAAAAATAGTATTTAAGATATATGTCGACTCTTTTTTTATCATTAAAATATGTAGCATTTACAGTAACTTTTACGCTCAAAATTTCATTCAAATCGCTAAAAGCATTGGGAAGAAAATTATAATTATAATAATTGTTGATAAATGGATCAATTTTGATATGAAAAATTAATCTTATTTTTAAGAGAGAAAGTCTTCCCACGAGAGAAGACACATGCTTTTTGAAACACCCTGTATTTAGTATAAATTATAAATATTATCGATTATCAATTTTAATTTAAAAACAATTAAAAGACAGAGATTTTCATTCTGATATTTTTTGAAAGTATAATTTCACATATAAAAAAGATATACATTAAAATATATTTATGTATATACATACATTTGTAATATGTATAATAACATTTAATCTAAGAATTGTTGTCTCAACAAGACTTTCCCTTATTAATAACTTTTTTTTGAGCGCATAGCTTTTTATCAGTACTGATATAAATCGGATGATGCTAATTTATCCAATTTTTCACGATTATATACAATAAACTTGATTGATAAAGTTTATATTCTACAAGGATGTAATAATCATATAGCATAAATTTTATATCAGTCATGTTACTAGATAATTTTTAACGATATATTGTAATGTATATTATACCTATACATATTAAGATGTTTTAAGTTAAATGTATATTCTTACAAAATATTACCATTCACGATCTCCTATCTTCCAACAGATGAGATGTTTAATTTTTCTTCCTGTTATTATTATCTTTATAAAAAGTTTATTTTTTGCTAAAGAGTTATTCTGATTAAAAGTTTACTTCTCATTTTTTAAATTAACTATTCTACCGAAGTCTATACCAAAATATATTAAATATATAAATATAATATATTGTGTGTGTGTGACTATTGTAATATATTACAATAGACTTTGATTCTACGAAGTTTAATAGAATATTGATGCCATTTTCTGAATATTTCTTGAATTCACTCAGAACTTGAATTTTGATTTAAATTTTTCTTGTTAATTGAAAAATTGTTTTTTTGTTAAATGGAAAAACTTATATAGCCTTTAATTATTGTGTTTGTGTATTATACAGCATATATAAATGATAATACGACGATATCATATTCTTTTATACCCTCAATTCTTAATAAACTAAAAAGAGTGCTTGTCAAAAAAGGAGATAAATATTATTAAATATCTGTTCAATAAAAATACATATTAACAAGTTTTTGTAATCAATTTTTTTTGTTTAGTACATTTGTATGCGTGCGTTCAAATGCAAATTGAAAGAAATAGAATGTCTACATTTTATTGTTATTCTTTATTGTTAAAATAAACTACCGAGTTTGTGTTTATTGCCTTATACTATTTACGAGGGGTGTATCACTTGGGTAAAAAATGTACATGTACTTCCAAAATATCATTTTACTGCCCATAGTCGACTGATCAAGTGTGACTGTCAAGGAAATATACATCTAACCCATGTCTAATGCCAACAGTGAGACACCCCTTGACTATACCGGGTGCGTCTCAAAAGTGCTTCAACTTTTGATTTTTATATAGCACCTTCGGTATTTTTTTACTTTATTCGATAGAAAATGACACTCTGAATCGAATGACATAACATATGTCAACTTTTGACATTTTGGTATATGGTTTATTTGAAATTATAACATGCGGTTCATAACGACAATTTAATTCAAAATAGCAAGTGTGTGGTATCAAATTATTCGTAAAAAAAAGTCTTTTTCTAAATATGCTAATGAGCCACCGTCGTTCTATTTGAAAAAATTGAGATATGATTAAAAATACGATTTGGGCATCTTTTAACCGGCCAGGACAAGACACTAAAACCATTAGACGATCAAATCTATTTTTCCAAGGCTCCTTGATTAAAAATTAGTGTTTTTAACACAGCCATGGCACTCTAGATTGAAATTTAAAATAGAATTTGTTTTTGAGTGACTATATCAAAAATTGACATATGATATGTCATTCGATTCAGAGTGTCATTTTCTATCGAATAAAGTAAAAAAATACGGAGGGTGCCATTTAAAAATCAAAAGTTGTAGTCATTTCCGGTGAAACCGGAAGTCATTTCCGGTGAAACCGGAAGTGACCGAAAACAATTGAATACGTCAATCAATCCCCCAATTTATGTTATATAGTTACATACCAAATCTTGTTGTTTTATCTGAAAAAATAAAAAAGTTATAGGGGGTGAGCCACTTTTGAGACGCACCCGGTATAGGAAACATTTGGACAAACCAGTCAATTCATTAGTGAAGTAATATAACATCAATCTCAAATAAAATCAGTTGAATAGATTTTTATGCAAACAATTCTATAGCTTTATAACGTTGAGTCGTAATGAATATTAGGGTAAATAATTATCATTATAATTAATTTATGTTAGATAGATATTTGGAAAAAAAGATAATTATGGGTGACTCTTATTTTTTTAGATCACGTTAAAAATTAGATAACCAAATACAGGCTATATAATAATCTCTTATCGTTTCTTATCATACGTTATTGAGTGGAAATTTTTATCGAATAGCAAAAAAATCAATCGAATTGTAAAAGTGAATAGTGAAGTGGGAATTAGAGAACAACGGCACAGACTACAAACACGTAAACGTTTACGTACGTATGCGCATTTCTTATATTTTTATTTTTTACACACGTAAAAGATTCTTTACGTCTACTCGTCCGTAGGTCGTTGTTCTCTATTGAATTGATTTTTTTTACGTAAAATAATATGAGACCGACTTTTTGTTACAACTAAGCATATTAGCAAAAAAACAATTTTTATAGTGGGATTTGAATTGAAATTTGTATTAAAATATGGGATTAAATAATTGTGGTAATTTTGTTGTCAAATGGAAACAAGAATGATTTCAACTTTTTGAATAGTGTCTTAACCATTTACAGACACTATTAATCACAATAACTACTGCTTAAAATAATTTTATAAAAATAACAGAATAGTTGAACATATACCGGGTGCGTCTCAAAAGTGGCTCACCCCTATAATTTTTTTATTTTTGAGATAAAAAAACTAGACTTGGTATGTTAGTATATGACATAAATTAGGATTGATTGACGTATTCAATTGTTCCTGGTCACTTCCTGTTTCACCGGAAATGACTACAACTTTTGATTTTTAAATGGCACCCTCGGTATATTTTTATTTTATTCGATGGAAAATGACATTCTGAATAGAATGACATATCATATGTCAACTTTTGATATTCTCGCTTAATAAAAAATCGTATTTTAAAATTCAATCTAGAGTGCCATGGCTATGTTAAAAACACTAACTCTTAATCAAAATCAAGGAGCCTTGGAAAAATAGATTTGATCGTCTAATGTTTTTAGTGTCTTGTTCTGGACAGTTAGAAAATGGTCAAATCGTATTTTTAAACATATCTCAATTTTTTCAAATGGAACGAGGGTGGCTTATTAGCATATTTGAAAAAAGTATTTTTTTACGAATAATTTGATACCACACACTTGGTATTTCGAGTCAAATTTTCGTTACAAACCGCAAGTTATAATTTTAAATAAACGATATGCGAAAATGTCAAAAGTTGACATATGATATGTCATTCTATTCAGAATGTCATTTCCTATCGAATAAAGTAAAAAATACGAGGTGCCATTTAAAAATCAAAAGTTGTAGTCATTTCCGGTGAAACAGGAAGTGACCGAAAACATTTGAATACATCAAACAATCCTAATTTATGTCATATACTAAAACACCAAATCTCGTTTTTTTAACTGAAAAAATAAAAAAGTTATAGGGGTGAGCCACTTTTGAGACGCACCCGGTATATTGTTTGATTGTTTTTATATTTTTCTATATTTGAATTTTTTTTTATCTTTCATCATATTTATATCTTCCTATAATCTTTGTTTATATATTTATATGAAATGCATAGAATAATGCTGCTTGATTGCAATAGAATTAATCAAAAATAAACATATCAAGCAACAATTCTAAGCAGAGTATTATTTTGAAAAAATGTGTTATTTTGATTTAAACATTTTAAAAACTGTATTAGTATGTGTGTGGGCTATCATCTACAAATATTTTTATATGGGACCATAATCATCCTTGGTGTTGTTTTGTTATTCTGTGCACTGTATTCGTTTTTTTTTGTTGTTATTTTGTAATATTGTAGTTAATTGTATTGTGTTGCATGTTTTACGTTTAACAGTACCGTCCAATTAACATCACCAGCTAGCTTAACACTTTCTGCCTGCCAACCACTTTCACGTTTTCTAACAGGTAAATATTTTATTTCATTATTCATTATTATACCCACTATTTATTTTCATACCACTAGGTATACGAAGAAGACTATAGATATAAAGTAAAATCATATTTCCAGATATTTTTTTATAATCTTTGGTTTAACCCATTTCAGTATTTATTTTTATCATTTTTTTAAGTCTTTTTCTTTTATACTAAAGTGGGTATGATGATAAAATTTAGGTTAAACTAGCTTTGCTATTATTTTGACGATTTTTACCAATTACTAAACACAATGACCTTATTAACGAGGAGTGAAAATATTTTAGTTAACACTTGTTTAAAAACTGTAATACGTCAAATATGTTAACTCTGTCGTAATGAAGAAAATGTGTTTAAACAAATGAACCTAATACCGTATGACCTATTAAACTGAATTTTAATTGGTTTTAAAGCATAATAAAAAGTACTATTAACTAACTAACACTAAGTTAACATTTAGTCATAAAAGTAGATATATATGATCTAGCGAAGTACTATTACATTCTTAAATTTCCCTATATTATAATCAAAATTAACTAAATTTCCTAAAATATTTTCTTAATAACTATAATATTAGTTAACCTTAGGTATTTATAATAAATATATATTTAGAATACATTAACTTTTGCAGTTAAGAGTAAGATTACTTTAAACAAAACATTTATCAATTTTTTCGCAACTAGTTTTTGTAACTTCTTTTAAAAAGTTAAACAATTGATATTTTAGAAAATTATTATTTTCCATATTATAGTGATATTAAAAATAATAATTATGATTAAAGATAGTTAATATTAAATTATAGGTAATAACAATTAAAGATAGTCAAATTTAAAAAAATGTATTAATAGGTACACTAAAAATTCCCGAAAAACTAGTATAAAAATGAATCCCTCATGTAGAGATATCATAGTAGGTATAAAAAACAGTTCAACCTCTCTGATATACTATACATATACAACAAAATAATATTTGAATGTGTTTTCAATATCATCAATTATTGTTTCTATTTCCTAAAATTCCGCTTCTAAAAGAATTTTTAATGTTTCGTGAAATAATGATTCAGTTGTACAGTCATCTCCATCTCATCTATTAATCTATTTTTTATAATTATCTTGGTGGTAATTAACGATTGACCTGCAGAACTTCAGCTTCAGGCTAATAGTCATAATACTTGAATATTACTTGGTGACTGAATTTAAAATAATAATTTAATTTCTAATTTTATTGTTTTTTTTTTCTAAAATCAGATGTATTATCTTTAGAATATTTCCCGCTTGCTGTATAATTTTAACTACACTAGTTTGCAAATTGAGTGAAGGTCTGTTAAGATATAGTGGATAACCTTGTAAAAATATAAATGTTGAAAGAATCAAGAAGCAGTAGCATAAGAAATGTATTAAATATCTAATTCTAATCATGCTAATTTTTGTTAGAATTTATTAACATTTTATTGTTCATATAACGAAAAAAATGTTTTTTTTTATGGAAACTGAATGTAAACAACTTGACAGAAACAAATATTATGAAACAACAAAAAATATAACTACGTTAAAATTTTCTGATGCATAACAACTTGGAATTTAAAATGTCTGCTGAAAATAGTTTTCATCGTTAGACGTATTATGATTTGGTTATTAAGCTATTATTTTAAAAATTAAAAACATATGTTTCAGATGGGCCAAGCTGAGAGTGGCCATGTTGCCATTGGTTATAGTCTTCGAACCCTTAAGTGAATGCATGGTCATAGGAGCATGTGCAGGATGGGCAGCCAGTCTGCTATTCAAAGCGGAACCTTTAGTTTTTTATTTAATACACACTCTGGTATGGTTTATGTGTGACTGGATTCTATTATCAATAGTGCAGGTACGTAGCAGCAGATACGTCTGTAACTTACCGACCTTGATACACATATATAATATAAAAGAGACTTCACAGATATTACTTTGCTTTTTTGTATTTTTATCAGAATGAAACGTTCTTACACTAGTTTAAACAATATTAAACTATTATACTTATTAAATCTACCGTATGATCGAAAAAAAAATGGCGTCCAGTTTGCTGGGAAATAACGATCGATGACATTTCCCATAAAAAATGACAGCGATCTTCATTTCATAGCCAGGGCTGACGCCATTTCTTTTCGATCATACGGTATAATGCTTCTGTATTTAATAAGAAAAAATAAATGAATCCTATTATTCTTTTGATCTGGCGTAAAATAATCTCCATTACCGCTAAGCAGGGCTACTGTCTACTGTAAATATCTCTATAATAGTATGTTATCCAGTATGCTGTATGATCGCAAGAAAAACGTCACAGTGGGATTAGAATTAGTTCACAACTAAGTCAACAAAGATCTAAAAAGTATGCAAAGAACTTATATTTCTTATGTTTAATAATAATAATAAATAATTATATGAATTCCGGTAAGAATACTTTTATTTTTCTCTCGCCGTTTGAAAATGACTAATGTGTCATAATTATTTTCAAGGCTTAAATTGATTCTTGAAAAGTACTAAGTGGTTTGTATAGTAGGTATAATGTTTTTATAATTTATTATGAGAAAACAATCATAGATTATAAATATATAGTTTCCTAGAGATTTATCACAGAAATTAAGATTTGTTTGTTAATAAATTAGTACAATTTGTCGAATATACATGATGTAAATGAGAAATATTTATTCATATAACATAAATAAATTGTTTAAAAAATATCTTTGACTCGAAACAGTCTGATTTCTATCTAATAAGAAGATTCTAAAGATAGTCCAATTTTAATTTTAACAGGTTGTAAAAAACCCTGTATTTAAGTAGTGTGTCTGACTGATACTATCTGACTTATGATACACTGTGTCAAATATTGGGATAATAAAAACTCTCGTGATATTAATAATTATATTAACAACTTGTTACTTTTCCAGAATGGCTCGTTACCTTTCAACAAATTCGATTTCATCGTGGGCTGGCTGTTCAGGGAATGCTCAGGACCATATCTCTTTATCATAGCTGTATTTGATAATTCCATAAGGTGGAGAAGCCGAAGTTTCAAGTTAGATTGGGGCGGCAGAGCCCATGAGATCAAACCTAGAATAAAGTGTTAAAAAGAAGTCTGTATATGCTATAGTTTTAATTTAAATAGTTTATTTTTGTGAATGTGCTAGGTATACTTACAAAAAGCAGGTAAAATACAGCAGACAGGGTGACATAATATTTAGACGTATATCTGTGTATATATTTTTAGTTTATACATTTTAGTTGTATAATATATGATTGTGATTCAGGTATTATTAATTAATTTAATTAATTTATTAACTAATAGCACGATGTAGCAGAGAGTTTATTAATCACCCTGTATGGATTAAGAATCAAATACTTTTTTTACTATAAAGATAGTACTTAGAAGTGGTATTTTTTTCCAACAGAGTCTTAACATTTTTAAGATATTTTATTTTCTATTTGAACAAGACTTGAACCTGATGAGTCCAATTTTTAAGCACATATTTTGTCTTAAGAAAGTTTTTTTATACTACTTAATTGCTGTATATATCAAATTTTACACATGTCTCTTCTTATTCTAAATTTTCCTAATAAACATAATTGTTTTTTTCCAACAATGTCAATGTATTTCTAAATATATTAAATATATAAGATTGAAAAGTACTGTTTTATTTGTCTTATAATTATTGTCCATGTGGTCTAGGTCCAATTTTTTCTAGTAGTGAAGCATTGTATGCAGTAGAGAACCAAATAATCAGTGGAAGGTAAAATATTTATATCAAAATAGAATATCGATTATGAAATATTAAACGTATTCTACTAATATATGACTTTTATCAGTACGTGGTTGAAGTCGAGTTGTATTATATGTCGTAATTTTTTTACAAAAATATCCAGTCAAGATAATACAAGAATAATACCAATAATTGTTTCTATAAATAATCAGAGTTCATTTCCCTTTTATGAAGTTATTGTTTTTAATATCCAGCAAAGGGGGGGGGGATAAATAAATCTATTTTTATACTTGAAATAAATTCAGTAATCTAATAGTCTAGCATTGTGAATCAAAACTAAATTGATAAGAAGTAAATATTCAGAAAGGAACCTTCCAATAATTTTATTACAAAAAATAACATTAATCACAGACATTAATTAATTTGAAGTTGATTAAGTTAGATGTTATAAATAAATCTGCTACAAACTTAAGTCATTTTTCCGATCTGCAAATGTACTTTTTAGCCAAGGATATCTTTAGAATATTATATATATAAAATATGTTCTTTGAATTTAAAGTATATTAGATGTTCCATTTATATAAGAACTACAATACCGCTAAAGCAATTCAAATTTTCAATTCAAAATTCAAAATTTACAGCCTATAGTTCTTATCGAAATAGTTCTTATCGAAATACTTCTTCAAATCAGTTCTAAAAAAATAAATCAATTTATTCACTAATTTAAAATAAGTCGCGCGATGAATTCAAAGAAATGATAAAATCATCCGATATTTTATTAATATAGAGAGTTGGAAAGTGTAATTCTTGAATTAATCATTTTAATTATTTTCAGTTATAAAGATCAATAACAGTAATATTTATTAATAAAATGTTTACAGAGATTATTACTAGGCATTATTTATATATCCCATACCTCGATATAAAATAAAAACATTGCAAACAAGAGAAAATAACAAACAAGTTGCATATTTATCAATAAATATGTTAATCAACCTAGGTAATTCCGACTCTGTTGCTTATATCCATGAAAAATAAAACACGAATCTCGTATTTGGAATCTATATGCTTGGAATAAATTCAGTGAGTCAAAGATTTCCGGTGAATTTTGCTGAAAATTTTATACAGAATGTCCCAAGTTCGAGACATGAGGACATTGGCATTTTTTAAATGGCCACACTCAGTAATTTTAAATAATTTTATTATATCAAATTACAGATGTAAGCCAAATTACAAATAGGTATTCTTTGTGTGAAACATTATCATTAGATAATTCGAAAAATCGATATCATGTGTTTGATTTACTGAATGTATTCCAAGCTGGTGAATCATCCTGTATATTACACACTACTACAGTTTTTAGGCTTAATTAAATAAATGTATCTTATCATCGTGATATTATATTTTAGTAAGTAAGTACCACACAACTGCGTTATAATAATCAATCTATGTCCTTGTTATTGATGTCGTACTAAGTCTCTAGAATGACACATACCGGGTGGTGCATCGGCGCCGGCGTTGGAAACGTAGGAAATTCCCAAGGACTGTATATATTCTAATCCTATTCTAATATTCTATAGTATCCTTGGGAAATTCCACGCAAATTTTAAGCTGTTGAAATATATTGGCCCCTTATTGATTTTACAGCTAAGTCGTAAATAGGTTTTTTAAAGGTGTGAGCTGGGTGTGAGTATGTTAAAAATACATGCCAAATTTCATCATGTCAAAAATCATGCCAAAATACATACCTGTTCAGTTTTAATATAAAAATAAATGCATTATCTTTCTTAAATTAGTTAAAAACGGCTTGTCCAAAATTATACAAATTTTACATGTGTATTCAGCATACGCAGACTTTAATAAGCATATTTACGACTTCGCTGTAAAATCAACAGGGAAGTCAATTAATATTTGGTCTGTTCAAAATTTGCATAGGATTGCCTAGGTTTCCTACACCGATGCACCACCCAGTATATGGACATAGTACTTAGTACTAACCTTTGATAGAATTTGTACTTTATCTTATTTGAGAAACAAAAAAAAAACAAGAAAAATATATCTATTGTATTAAAAGTAAGAACTGATATTATTTGATTGCCTGGTTCAAAGGATGCTTGTTTTTCTCTTATGTTAGAACACGATGTTGTTCTACGAATTTAGAGATTTTATAATTTTGATAGATATGTTATTGAGATAATGTATAATAATTTTAACTCAAACTGTAAAATAACGTGTTTCAGAATATGTACAAAAATAGACTATCTATGTATAAAAAATACTACTTTGGGAAAAGAGCAATTAGTTATCAATTTTTATTATTAATTTTTTATTATTACATTTTTAAAAGTATTCATTCCCTCGTAAATATTGACGACTTTAATATCATAAAACCTGCCTAAAACAGGAAAAACTAATTTATATTAATTATTTTTTAAAATATCTTAAGGTGCGTTCACACTAGCTGCGCCGCTCCGGGCCGCGCCGCGCAAATCATTTTTTTAACGTATAATGACTTTGGTGCGTGCTAAAAAAATACACTTCAAAAGTACATGTTAAAAAAATGTTTTGCGCGGCGCGGCCCGGAGCGGCGCAGCCAGTGTGAACGCCCTTTAGTTATTACTTATAAGTTGGACGGCTATTCAGTATCTATTTAAGTTAAAAAAAATATATTTTCAAAACTTTCCAGTAATAACCATATTTTATTGGCCATCTTAATAGTTTAGTTTGAATTCCCGTAATACAAATCAGTAGAAATTACTATTTATTTACATCGCTAATATGAAATATTTTGTTTTAATTAGAAAGTCTAAAATCGAGACATGAAGCTTGACAAAAACCATTTTTTTTATTAGGATGATATTTGAAATGGCTGACTGATTTGAAATGGCATTTCTACGTCTATAACGACATTTTCAATCGATCAACCTGTATTTATACTTGTCCATATAATATTATATATTTTCAAGGGTATTACTCTATACAAAGTATTCTAATTATTCTTTTATATATATATATAGTAGTAGGAGATATTAGCCGATTGGGCTCCTCCACATGCGCAGTTCGCTTGACCTTGACATATGTGGCTTTCAAACCTCCTTGAGTGATTCCAGAAAGAACCTTGTTGTGAGACCTTAAACGACCTTTAAGGTTGACTTTCAGATGTATTTGAAATGCGTTTGTGTACCCTTCACAAGGAGAATGAATATTGCACAAAATACATCAAATATTTAACAAGCTGTTATAATAAGCGATGATATACACATTTTTTCTAATTATATTTAGGTAATATATGTTTAGCAATCATTATGAGTATCTGGTATCAAAGGAAAATTGTTTTTTTTATTTGCATACCTCATAGAATTCATGAAATAGTTAATTATACTTTATCTAGACACATTATATTAAACGTTATCTAGTGCAAAAAAACTATTAAAATAGCGTCACTCTTTCGTAAAAGTGTTAGAAAGGTAAATAAATTGAAACTGAAATTTAACAAATTTTAGCAAGAAAAAGAAGTAAATAAATATATCTGGAGATTGTAAAATGGGATTTATAAATTAATTCTAATTTGAAAGATTATATTACATTATCTAGTGCAAAAACTATTAAAGTAGAGTCACTCTTTAGTAAAATCGTTACATAGGTAAGTAAATTGAACTTGAAAGTTTATATTTTTTAGCAAATACTAGAAAAAATTGAATAGATAGTCCTGGAAATTGTAATATGGATTTTTAAATTAATTCTAATTTGAAAATGATAAGATTTAATATAAATAAACAAGATAATACAGAAGATACGATGGAATTATAATCATTATCTGCTGCGTTAAAACAAAGATGTCGGTCGCGATAGATTAGATAATAAACACAAAAATATCCATTAAACTAATTCGCTCATATTTTGATCGAACCCAATACACCAATTCTCAGAGTAAAAGCGCTTGATTAAATTTCTGGTACAAAGTATAGACTCAAGATGCATAAAAATAATAGCCCTCTAGACAATAACTCTGAAGTAACAATGGAAGGTATGTATTTATAGAAAATATGAAGGCACTTCTTTGTCTATGGGAAATAATACATGAATCGGTATTTTAGACATCTCTTTACCTGTTTTTTCTGAGAAACGCTTTGAAAATAGCGAACAACATAGAGAAACAGGTAAGAGGATGACAATCTTTATTATAGACACAGAATACTGAAATAGAAACATTTTACAGAATTCGAGAACAATAGGGCAACTCAGCATACTTATGTTAATAGAGAAGTAACTACATCTCAAAGGATTATAACACACCAACCATCAAGAGGAGAAAGAATTCCAACATCAAATAATGGTAAATAAAGTAGACATACGAGCAATGTACGAATCATAACTAGCTATGACAGACGGTGTGAGTATACCAATTTGAGTACTTCCGGTACAACCGGAAATGGTCAAATTTGTATATATATTTCCAAATTTACTTCTTGGTATATCAATCCATATAGTCCCTGGAGCGTAAATTCAATTATTTAAACTAAACAATACAATTATCATCAAAACTACTAAGATATTTGCTCTGGTCATACAGTAAATCTCAGTAATGTAATAATAACAGTATACTTCTAACTATTATAGTATAGTCAAAGATGTATAATAGAGTTTTTGAACCAGTTACATTATAGATACTTTTGAAATATAAAAATTAGACTGGGATTTTTTTTAATTAATAGACACTGGAATCAGACGACCTGTCCCAATATCCATTATAGAAAGAGAAGAATTTGGTTCTTCTTTCCATGCGCCAATTTACGGATTGGATTTCATGAGAAATGCCGACCAATTCATTATACAGGAAAACTGCGATTTAACTGATCGTAAGTCATAAATTAAAAGAAAACTATATGTCTATTTAATAACCCAAAGTCTTTCTTACAGTATTGGCAAACACGGAAAACCGATATACGGTGAAAATTCCAAAGAGGGAAAACTCCGAAGCTATATACTATGCAACCGAAAGTTCTAAGTCGTGTCACAGGACGTTTTTTGGCTCTGGCAGAGCGTTCAGCATGAGACTTTACGATAAAAGCGACCAAGAAGCGATGTCATTCAAACGAAGATTGGCATGTGGATACTGTACGTTTTGTGTTCGATTACAGGTAACAATAATTACTTATGACAAATTATGTCTGGTCACCTAAACTTCAAATTAACGATCTGTACAAATCACCCCATCAATAAGGTTTCCAAACCGGGATCCCGAAATCCAATGCAATAGGTAGCCATAGATGTCCAATGTAAAATGATTCGACTTTATACACTTTAGTCTTTCAAAGATCATATTTTATTTGTACTAAGCAGAACGTCAATATCTAAAAGTTATATTTCTGTGTTATATATTCCTATATCTTATTTTTCTTTGTAACAAGAATTATATTTTTTTACATACTAAATGAATGTTACTTTGTTCTGTCTATTTTAATAAAGCTCTTTTCTCATTTTCTTTTTGATATATAGCTAAAATGTTTGATTAAGTATTTCTTTTGATTAAATTCTGAGATGCTCATATATTCAGGTTATCTAACGCTGTGTAAAAAATATCTCAGAAGCCCCGTGACAGATGGTACTTCCCAACAGCCATCCAGCCATATGCACATGGATCCCATAGCATCTTGGGTTGAGTTGTTGTTCTTCTTAGTCTGGCTTCTCCCTTGAGACCTGTTCTACAAGGGTGACCCTACCAGTACACAAGCTACCGTCAACATAGCTCTCAATTAGTTATATATGAAATATTAAATTATTAATTATCGTGATATTAAAAGTTAAATGTACTTCTTACAATAGATCTAAAATATTGGGTTAAAAAAATTGAGAGCGATTTTAGCTTAAGTCCGGTTGACACGGTCCAAATGTACTTGGATGCTGCCATATAAGTATTGGATGTGGATGCTGTGCGCGTTACACATGTACGTTGCTTCTATCTTATCAACTGTTTTATCCAATCGAGTTGGAAGTCTTCGCAACATCCAAGTAAGCTAGCAGCCAGCCTACTTATTACTTGAATGTTACGAAGCTTTCTAACTTGACTTGGATAAAACAGTTAATACCTTACAAACAGCGTACAAGTGAGACGCGCGCAACATCCATGTAAGGTATTTATATAGCAATTATGGCAGCATCCAAGTGTATTTGATCCAAGTACACTTGTTCCGTGTCAACCGGGTTTTAGTCCCTTTAGCCTACTGCAGGATATGCAGGTTGTTAATTTGTTTATTACTCGCGGCAAGAGCTTTATGGTTGAAATATGGCAACCTCGGCCCGCTCTTCGATAGACGACGCGACGGGACGAGTCGGCAGAAAACCCTATAAGTGCATGCCTTCTCAATAGGCAGTGTTGCCATTCTGTTCCTCTATAAGTAACTGTCCTATTAACAACCTGTATATACCTTCAGCATATATTCGATTGGATTGGTTTTTCTAATTAAAAAGTAAATAATTTCATTGATTTTTTTCTGATTTATAATACAATTTTAATTTATTTAGCAATTGGAAGTATGGATACCACCTGGTGAATTGGTAGGGACAATCTGCCAAAAATGGAAACCTTTAAGGGTGTATTTTGAAGTCTGTAATAGGCATGATGAGGTTTTATACATAATTGAAGGAATCAATTCTTTTTCATGTTTCCATAAAGCAGAAATGTTCCAGGTGAATATTAATTTTACTTTTAAAACAATCAAAGACATTTTTTGATTTGAAACAGATATATACTTCAGATGGATCTACGCAGATAGGGACCATACACCATCAGTGGGATCCTGTGTCTACTATGTACCAACTTCACCTACAAATGCCGAGTTCTATCACCGACAATCGACATAAAGCCTTGTTGCTCGGAGCCTCTTTTTTGTTGGTTGGTATATTTTATTTTTAAAAACTATTGCCTTAGAAACCCTTCTTCTGTGAATTTAAGGATAGGGGAGGTTTATATCATGGTATTCGGGTTCTTAAATGTGAACTCGAATACCATGATAAACACAAAAACTTGACTATTTAAAAAAATCGTATTGTATAATTATTAATTATTACTATTTTCTTTTCAGGAATACATGTTTTTTGAAAGTGCCCAAAAAAGATTAAATGTAACCTGTATGTGTTAATAAATAAAAATGGTGATATATTGACTTGCAACAGGCAATAACTGTTCATTTCCATTATTACAATACAGTATTTAAATATAAAATACAGCATGCTATGAAGGTGTTGTCAATTTTTGAAATCTATTAATATAATTAGCCAGAGATTGACACCCACTATTAATTGGTTGGAATAAATTTAAAGATTAACGTCTAATATATGATCTTGTTTTTTTCTGTCTAGAGAGATACTCTCATATTATGCCATAATCAAAACGTAGGATTTAAAGCTGACTGACTTAATATATATTCTTATTACATAGTTTTATTTACAAGTCTGTAGCAAGTATATTGACGTTAGTTATTTACTCTTAAACGTAACTCAAAATAAAACTGTATATTGTATATGTAAAAATAAATAAATCGTTCTATTTATAAACTTATTTATTATTATTATTATTAAACTTGTTCTTATATTTCTGGTTCGTTTTTATTCCTATGTAACTGCAATCACAGCTACAACGCTTATATATTGATTGTCGTGGGGAACAAGGCGCGATTCCCAGGCCACCACGGGAAATACCGTATGATCGAATAAAAACGGCGTCAGCGATGGCTATGAAATGAAGATCGCTGTCATTTTATATGTAAATTTATATAGGAAATGCCATCGATCGTCATTTCCAAGCCAACTGGACGCCGTTTTTATTCGATCATACGGTATTATCGCGAGAATCGCGCCTAATATGGGTTTAATACGCTGTAGTTGTCCCAGGCCTGACCGAACTTATTCGTGCGTACGCTCGATAGTTTGATCACAGATTAGGTATCCTATAAGTATACAGATAAAAATCTTGTCCCTAATTCGTGGTACGAAAATTGTTTTTTATGACGATGAGCAAACGAGTAAATTTTCTTGTGGGCAAAAATAAACTCCTGTTTAAACACGTAATAACTGGGCCGGTCAGGCGCTGTCATGGCGCTGTGCACAATTTTAGAGGCCATAAGTGGGCGTGCTTGTGCGCAAACTAGTAACCTAACTAGTGCGCGACTACAAAAATTGGAACCATGAAAAACAATGCTTTTGACGATAAGTTTATAATCTGTATGACCTGTGGTTTGATGACAGAAGCCTTTCAATGGCTATTTTGGTTATTGCCAGGAGATGTGGCTTCAACGGTCATTTCGTAACACTGTTCAGAAATATAATTTCGTTATAAAGGAACTCGTGAAATGCCATTAAATTATATTATTATGGTTACAAATTACCATACCCCATTAAAGGCACATCAATAGTTTAATACTCATCATTAAATAATAATAGTAAACTAATAAATTTGATCGAGGTATACACTAGCGTCGCCATTGTATAAAAAAGAAACAGTTGGCTTAATTATATTACATTTGAACTAACGTAACAGCGTGGGATAAAATCGAAGAGGTAAAATGAACGTTGTAGTAGGCTCATACTATGATGTTTTATAATCAAAAAAGTAAAGATTTCAGTTAACTTTTTTTGCTGCCAGGGCTAATCTGGACGGTTTTATAATCAAAAAACAGCCTTGGATATTAACAGTTAACTGAAGATCTTCCACTGCGGCCCTAAAGGTCTCTTGTAGATCTATATAAATCTTCATTTTCATTACAAATGAATGTGTAATCGTCACGTCTCATAGAGAATTGAACTTAAAATCAGTTTCAAAAAAACATAAAACCACCACCAAACCAATATTTAAAAAGATCTAAAAATATAAAAAAAGAACATATCAAATATTTATATTCTTTATTTTGCTTTGTAGGACCACAGCTACAAATAATCTTTTTTTTTCTACAGCTACAAAAGTTTAAATAATTTATTAAATTAAACAACAAAAATATACACGATATATAAAATATTTATATCTATAAAAATTACAATTGCCGCTAACTTACAATAAAAAATACAACAGAAACCCACAAAATATATAAAACAGTTAAGCGTTTTGTTCATTTAGAGACATATATTAAAGTGTTTTTTATATTTATTTACATTCATAAATATACAGATTGTTGAGGACCGATCCAATTGAGAAAATGTTTATTTCCAATTCAGAAATTATGGTGTGAGATTGGTAGTTCTTAAAGCAAAGTGGTAAGCAAAATAGCTTGACATAAGTACACATTTGTTTTCGTCAAAAACTTGATTAAAACTATTGTGAATAAGATCACAAAAATCTACATAAATTATTGCTATTGTAAAATCTATATATGACCAAATAATTTTTCGAAGATTGCTTTTAAATATACTACGTCCAAAGTTAATCTATATATTTTTATTTTCTTTATATATATTATGATTAAGAATTGTCTATATTACAGATTATTAATACCAAAAAATACTTTTTTATGATTTGTGTACAAACAGATTTGTTTGGAGCTTCAATAACTATAAATACACGTTCCAACAGATATAATGGATATTTAATAGAAATATTCTTCCTAATTTTATTAAACTGGACAGAATTTGATTTTAGAATGGACAGGTAAAAAGGTCTAGTTTTTATTCTACATGATCAGAGTCAAAAGACTAATCAACTTGGACGACTAAACCTTATGTGTTGTGATTGAATGAATCACTGAGCAATAATATAACTTATAAAAAGACTAGAATATATTGCGTTTTATATAAATTTTACATGGAATGTTTCTTAATAAAATGACAATTTTTTGATTCAGCCGATAGAAATTTATTGTATTGATAAACGGATGAGCGTTAGATAGATAAATAGGACGTGTATTACGGGCTGAACCAAATTTTATAAAAGTGTTTTAACCAAAACTGCCAGCAAAAATATATAGAATCTACTGAATGTGATCTATTCTAAAAACACACAGATTACTCTTTAAATACTTTTATGTTGACTACCAATTTTTCTATTAAAGTTATATATTTCTAAGAATCTTGTCTTAAAACCTGACAGCACACAGAAAACAATGCTATTTATGAAAAGATGCCTGGATAAGTGAGGCTACATTCCAACAATAGCAAGCGTTTAGGCTTGGTGTTTTATTTTTGAGTGCTTGGGTGTTAGACTAACAAGGAATATCACAGAAATAAACACTTAAATTAACGAAAAATAAAACAAATAAAATTATAAACACAACACAGTCAACGCCTTAAAAAGTGTTTGATTTCTTGTTTGCAATTGACTTATACAAGCTCAAAGCATTTGGCTATACAACTTAAGAGAGATTAATCTTAAGACAATCAATCTTACGGATTTAAGCCAAACCTCAAAGCGCCTCGCCTTTGATTTATTTTAGCGTTCTAATTTTTAAACATCCACTAAATGTCATATATTTCAATTGTGTTTCACCAAAAAGCAGAGGTAGATACGTGGCTCAACGTACAACACGAATTATTGCAAAAGCGCGCTGGCCAATTACTTATTAGAAGTAAAAATTCCAATATTAACCACAAAATATCGCCTAATTCAAAAATGAAAATATCTACTGTCTGTTAATAATTCTAGCAATTCAATATTTGAAAACTAACAAAGAGATTTTTTGGAAACATTACACAGCACCACAAACATTTTTTGTGTAGAGTTTATAACTCTACAAACACATTACTTTTATTTTGTACTCTATATTATTGACATAACATAAAAGTTGTAATGATGTTACAAATATTGTTTTTTTTTAAATAAAACCGGTAAAAGATTTAAAAAATTAAACATAAAATATTCATATTATATAACAAGTTTATAGAACTATCACTAGGCAATGTCTTCACAATCATAACGGTTTGATCACATGATATTTTGGTGCCATTTCATGATAAAAGAGTTTTAAAATATTGACTGCTATCACTACAAAGTAATTTTAAGGACATTTTTTGACTATGCGTTATTTTGGTGGACTTATATACTCAACTTGTATAGTGTACTGCGCTAAATTGAATTATTTTCACTCTAAATTACAGGATATTGCGTTTTAATTTGACCAATATGGAATAATTAATTATTTATAAATTATTATTTAAAGTAATTCTTTTAATATAAAAAAAATAACATTTAATATAGAAAAACTAAAAGATTCCAAACACAAATCTATTTTCAAAAAATATTTTTTATGGAATAAATTTCCTTGTAAATAATTGGCATGTTTGGAAACTTTTACTTTTTCCATGAAAATATTAAGTTTATTTTATTAACAAGCATAATAAAATATTTATAATAAAAAACTTAAAAATGTATATTAACTGTACAAAAAAAAATACTAATACTCATAAAACTTTACAATTTTATTGAACTTTAAAGGACAATTTTCGATAAAATATTTTGAGAACTAAGTATTCCATATTAGACTACTTAAATCTGAGAATCCCGTATAAATACCTTTATTTACGTCTACGTAATAAGTGCGATATAAAATTTAGTGCGATCAAACAGCGAAGTGCAATGAAACTACGAGATGGCAAGGACAATTATATGCCACGTCAAGGACGGCTCACGTGGAACTACTGTGGATTAAATAGATGCCTTTATGATATACATATATATGACTTATTTAGCTTTTGAATTAATGCGCATCCCTACGTTGTTCAATCCACTTCCTCGCGATTTTGATCTTGGCAAGGTATCTGAAATCGAAATAACGCCTTAAATTAAAAAAAAAATAAAAATAAGTAGCCTAAAAGAGGAAATGCGTCAATTATTTATGATTAACAGTTGTCTTACTACTGTACTCTTATGGTACGTATACAATGGTGCGCTGCGCCGTGAACGCGCAGCGCGCGCGCCGAGCGTTGTCCGCGCGTTACTTTTATTGTTTTAACGAACATCCCGCGATCCATAGAAATCCCGCGAACATTCGTCTAATCGTTAATCATGTCTCTATCCTCCAAGAACTACGCAGTTTTAATCATGAGTAGTGCGACTCTTTAAACACTCCATTAATAAACAATATTCAAAGAAAAACACAAAAAAGGGAATTTATTCAAAGAAAATACACATAGTCACTGATAAACGCGCGCGGAATGCGTGCGGTGTCTTCACCGGCCGTTCCAATTGAACAACGAACAAAGCGGAGCGTCGAAAAACCGACCGGAGATGGTTTGTCGCTAGCTGTTTGTGCGCGGAGCGCGCGCAACTTGAAAACCCGTACCAATAAAGGCGAATCGGTGCGCGCGTGCAGCGCGCCAATGTATACGTACCATTACTTGAATCTGTCAGAATTCAGCAAGTAAATTGTGAGAAAGTTTAGAACCTAAAGGTTTGTTTACCAACCCGCCGCAGAACCGACACCGAACGATCACGCGCGTGCGCAGTAATTGAAATGTGTTCCAACAGAGATTTGACGGTTATCGGATGATACTATTTGCGTACCAACCTACCTTGGGATCGTTTAGTTACGATTTCAGAACGGTAATTTCGGTACATGGTCCAAATTGAGAACTGTTTGGGTTGACTTGACTTTGTTCAAGTTAGCAACCGATCGTTTAGAAGCGATGTCGAAACCAGATCGATACTATGTTCATTGCAAAACTAGTGTCGCTCAAATGCTGCGAAATATGGTATCACTATCACACTCTTGCACACGTGTCTAGACTGTCGCCTCGCCACAAAGCTAGAAATCAGAATATCGCTACAAATCGATGTTGCTACTGAACATAGTGCATCAAGCTACAAATTACTTTGCTATCGCTTTGAAACATGAACAAAGTTGCACCCCTGGTCCGGCTGATGCTTCTGTCTTGGTTAATTTTTACGAATTCGAATAAGTGTGCGTTATGCTTTTTCTTGTGAGTTTGTGTGGAGTAAATCGTTAGGAAATTTTAATAAATTTTTTATTTATAAAATAATGTTCAAAGATTCTACCACTGCAATAACAGGAAACTACGCATAACAGGATCATAAAAGAGAGGATAGGTAAGCGAGTTAGTGAGTATACAGTTGTTGAAACAACACTTACCAACAATTACTAGATTCTGATTCTCCATTTCAAGAATAATAATTATTATTATTGCAAATTACAAACAAAAACAATAGGGTTATGTCATAGATAAATGAAACAAGTTTAGATTGGAAAGTGCCCATAAGGACAATGTAAACACAATTTGGCGCTATTCTTGCAACGGTCGCGACCCAAAACTTTTGAAAATTTCGGAGCGGTTCGGCTTTTTCCGGAATTATATCGCCAAATATTGTTTATTCAAATTTATTATTATTTTCGTTTAATTTCATAAATAAAATACAGTGTGTTGCATACAAGAAACTTTATTTTATATAAGGACGCATGTATGAAATACCTATGAAACATTGGAAACCGACGTTATGCCACGATTCACGATGGTTTTTGCAGTTCACAGTTCACATCACAGCTTTTTAAGTTTTTAATGCCACTTTTTCACAATTATCATCGGTTGGAGTAAATAAAACTTGAATTAAACTCACAAGATAGCAATAATTACTTTGAAAATGGACGCTATAAACACTTTTCGGGATTTCTTTAATGAGAGCGGTTTAGATTTTGAAAGATTATTATGATTTTTTAAGATTCAGACTTTGACAAGAGAAAATTATTTCTGTTTTTGTTTGCCGTTGTTCTTAGCGACCGCTATAGCAGTGCCAGATCGCGTATAAAGGTCGCGACCCAAAATAATTTCGCGATCTAAAATTTATACGGGCTTTCCAATCTAAACTTGTTGCATTTATCATGGGTAATGTTATGAAATTCTAAACAAAAACAAAAAACCGATCGATACACGCACGCTTGACACTTTTGACAGTCTCGAAAACAATCCACAAAGCGTTCTAACGTTGATTACTTTTTGCACCGTCAAATTATTCGAAGTCCGCGCATGCTAACAAAGTGCAAGAAAACCGATTCGAGTACGATTTCGAAACGATCCCGAAATGCTGGTTGGAACAAACCTTAATCATCTGAATGAATGGCAACTGAAATGAACTGTAGGCAAGATAAAATATTTTATGAAATAAAAAAGAGTGAATACATCTTTTGCATACAAGGTGATCAAGAAATTATGGAAAGGTTGCATATCTAGTTCCCCAACAGGAAATCTAAGACAGAAAAACGGATCAACCTGTATATATATGTAAATAATTAAAAATGGATAATAATTAATTACCCTTATTCAACAGGCATTTGTTGCTCGCGGCCTTGTCCAATCGCATTGCTTTTCCTCTGCGATCAAAACTTAACTTGTCTGCCCTAACAAACATGCCGTGTTTTGGCTTGCATGTGAAATATCGGGACCCGTTAACGCTTCCATCGTTCTTTCCTAGAAAAAAAAAGAACAACATACATTCAGGAGAGTACTATCTAAAAAAAATCGAAAAAGGATCACAAATTAATAACTAATTAATTAATACTAATAAAATAATAATAAACTAATCTTTCTATGTACATAGCAAGTTTAATTTCCCAATATTATGTTCCAAGTTTCCAAGTTTTAAAATTAGTCTGATAATAAAAAGTAAGCCAGATATTGAACCATCATTTATAAGAGAAATACGCTTTTCTATTTTGGTAAATAAATGTCCCATGTTAACTAATATAACAATTATTAATAAAGTGATATAACAATGCACTATACAACAATACACAGTAGCTGAAAATTTACTCCATCAATACTTATTTGAATGGTAATATGTTGTTACAGAGTGCGAATGTTACCTTTTGGGGCATCTAATTCTACGCCTATCCATGTTCCAGGGGCAAATTCAGTCTCGCCAATATAGGCAACCACTCCGGTCGAATTATAAGGTCTAATACTGACACTTTCGCCAAGTACAACCCATTCAGGGACGGGAACATCGGAAATCTTGTGTATATCTAGTCGAGAACCATAACTGCTCTCATTATCATCTAAAAATCAAAATTATAAACATTTATAGATAAATCATTAATAAAAATATTTGATGTACCTTCTAACCGATCAATAGAGCTATTCATTGAATCTTTGTCGTGGGACATACTCAGTTTATCCGTAGAATTAGTCTTGTTACTCAGATGGGTCTGAGGGAACGACGCTCTGCTAACTAAATTCTTGTTTTGACTTCTTTTCCGTCGAATTACTCTAGCAGGTGACGATGGTTTGACGTTCTCGTTTTCTAAAGGTAAATTTGATTCGCTGTTCGAACTCTGAACCATTTCTTCCGAAGTTGCATTAGATGCCACATCTTCTATGTCCTCCTCAGATAGTGTTAATCTCTGAAATAAAAAAAATAGTAAACGACATAAATTTCAAAACCAAAAATCTCTGAAAAAAAATAGAATATATAATGATTAAAGTTCCTATTTATCAACAGTATGTTCAAATATTAAATAAATTCATACCTCAACACTAGACGACTTTTCGTCTTCAGCTACAGTTTGTAATTCAGTACTGACAGATTTATATTCTAAATCTGGAGTCTCGTCCACGCTGATACTTTTTAGCGACATGGAATCATCGCTGGATAAGTTGGTTATGGAGACGGCTTGGGAACCATATCCACTCGAACTTGCTGATGGCGTGCTGGTTTTTGGTGCCAACTCAGTTAAAGAATCCAAGGTTCTTGACGTCGGCAAAATATTCTTTTTCGCATTTCTGCCTGCTCTAGTATTAAACTGAAAAAAAAAAACAATACAAAATAAGTTTGCGTGTGTTATACCCTGAATATTGGTTTATTTACTGAAATGTATGATTGTTCACCTGAGATCGTATAGGGTTGCGGAGAGAAGGTTTACATCAATGTATTTTGCATGTATTTTAGTTCTTTTTTATTGTAATTACCTGATTGTTCACTTTTTCATCTAGTCCTTCTTCACACTGTTCTTCAATAGGTTCATCAGTTAAGAAATCCAATGAGTGTTTTCTTGGAAGGGGTTTGACTGGTTCTTCATGTAAAGTAGTCATTCTCAAACCCAGTTTTGTATTTGCTGGTGATGAGAGATTTGAAAACACTAAAAGACAGAATATATTAGTAAGTATAGCAGAATTGTAATGGTTAGATAAAACAATAAACTAGTGTTGAAAAAAAAAACGAATATTCATTAGAGTTGAATTTCAGCCAACAAATAATACAACTGTTGAACATAAAGTACAAAAGACTGTCTAATTTTTACATAAAATGGTAAAATATAAACGTGTGTGTTTATGAAATAATGAACGTATTTTTTGAGTAAATTAAATATTTGTTGTACAAAAGAGTGTATAATTAAAAATACTAGCCATTCATCTGCAACATAAACAAATCTACAAAACCAAAACTAAAATAAAAGTATTATGACGTGTTTTTACAAACGTACTTTTTGTACTGCTCGTAGGCTGTTGTAATCTTAGGGAATTCAAATTTATGTTCAGATTTAGGAATGTAGGGCGGGCTGAAAATATTAAAAATATTATTTGTTTTAGTTGTAAGCACTTCGCTGCTTTCCAAGGTCCTATCTACGATGAGATTACACTTTTAAAATGACACGGTGATCATTTTAAAGTCAAAGAGACGTAAGGTATCCGTACTAACAATTAACGATCATGCATCTGCCAATTGGAACAACTCGAACGACAATACACAACACATTATAGTTTATTCTTAATTTTAGGTCATTTGACGAAACTCCAGAAGTACCACTCCAATAAGGAAGGCTAATATACATCGCTTGTTAAATCCAATATGAAACAATGTATGAAATGAATAATTTACGGAAGCCCTCTTTATCTTGGTGGTAATTATCTTGTTAAATAAAGTTAGTCTAATGTATATTTACTACGCATGCTCACAATGCTCGCGAATTTTACTTAATTTGGTATTATTTTTTAATAATTTGTAACACTCCTTATATCTTAAAAATAATATAATATAATCATATTTTGCAGAAATAACGATCAAAATTTAATCCTCATGTAACAATAATTTAAGTTTTAGAAAAAAATTACAAAATTATTTACTCGTACCCTTCAAGTGAGAATAAGAATAGTAAGTAACAATTAGGGGGGGAGAGTAAAATATTTCATTCTAATTCCCAGTTAAATTTATTGGTATTTTTTTATTGCAAAATTAATTTTAAAAAACACCATATTACTTCTAATATATATGAGTGGTATTATAACAGAAATTTTGTAAAAGTCTCTGTGACTTTATTACAATATTCTAAATGATATAAGCAAAACGAAACTTCTTGAACTATGTTGAAAAATGTACAAATTAATTCTGATATGAAGCCCAGTAGCTTTTCTTGTAATCTCAATTTAACACTGTTAAATACAGAAGCCTCCTGATCCTGAGATAGAATTTATTGTCTCATGCGGCATTGTGCTGTATATATTGTACAAGTGCTTAAGATATATTTTATACACTTTTTACAATATATAATAAGAACTTTCATTTTATTAAAACTAAAATAATGGCAACTGATAAAACCAAAACATGCTCAGTTTTATTTTATTTCAATCTACGTCATCTCTACGGACTACAACAGTTTTTGAGTGGCATTAAATGCAGCAAATGCTCAAAACCTGTCAATCGATTCAAGCATCATTTTTCAATTAAAAAATATAGGTTCTTTAACAACCATTTTATCCACCTATGGTTAGCAATCTTAATATGCAAGCCTCCATTTTACCTGATAGAATGGAGCCTTGTGGTTGCAAAAAAACAAAATTCATAATTATTGTTGGATAGTTATGTAGCATTTTAGAGACTAATTTGAAAAATATGACAACTACCACTTCAAAAGTTGATATAAACTTTTAAGGCCAAAAATACTGATCAAAGTCAAAAAGATAATTTCTAAATATTTATGAGAAATAACAAATAAATATATTAATTTAAAGTTTTCAGCCAAAGAAACAGAAGTATAAAATATAAGTAACTTATAAGTTAATCGTTTTTAGTTGACTTTTTATAGACTGATTATTTTTTGCACAGTACTAATAGAATGACAGCAGATGTTAAAAGAATAAAGTTTATTTTATACTTCAGTTAAACAATTATACACTTAAAAGAAAAATATTAAACACTGTCCACCGATATAATTAATTACATCACTTCTGAAATATAAAATTTCAGATAGCTAAACATTAAACACCTAAAAATTCTAAATTTTTTACTTTAATTAATACAAACTCACACTATTCATCTAACTATTTTTGCTTTGAAATGCGTATTATAATATACCGTATAATATTAAGTGTGGATGTGGTATTATATCTCAAATTAATATATTGTAAAAAAGAAAATGAATTAGAATACTTACCAAGGCCTCCATAGGTCTTGGGTGGAGTGCTATCAGATTCTTTTCCTGTGCTACTTCGAGGTCTTAAGGGCATAATGCCATGCAATTCGCTGTTTAATTCTGAAACACTCTCAGATCTTGACATACGCAATGATTCAGTACTTGACGCATCTAATCTCAACAGCTGCAAATAGGATTGATAAAATTTACAAAGTTTAATAAATTTAAAGTATATCAAAGCATACCCCTTTGTTTTCCAAAGTCTGAGGCGATAAATAAGAAGAAAGGTTAAATAACGAAAGAGATGCAAAACGTGTTTTAAATACCTGAGAGAAGTTAGGAACACTGACGGTCTTCCTCATAAGAGGTTGCCCCTTGGCCTGAAGCAATTCCTTCACAGCCACACTCTGACGAAGTCGATCCAAGGTTAAAATACTTTCAACGGCGCTTACGCCTCTAGTGTATTTTTCTATGTATGTTTCCCCATCGCACAACGATGTGTTATTATCTCCTGACGCAGCTAACTGCGCCAAACTCTCCCTGTCTTCTAACTCTTCACTAGCTTTAGGTACATTTGAAACAACCAAGTAAGTAACTCCGCACGTCGTTATATCATCAGTTCTCACTATTTTCTTCTTAATTCTTTCGGCGATACTTTGTTTTTTATATATGTTTATGGCCAATCGCTTCCTCAGTACGAGATCCATTGGAGCAGGATGTGACAGACGAACAGTTATTCTCAGAATCATATATACCCTTTCGTTTGCTAATTAAAATAAGAAAAAATCAAAATAAACAATAATTTAACCAGCCGAAAATACATTTTTTTGAATAATAATTATTTCGGACAAACTAGAATTAATAACATGAATTTAGAGTAAATGCTGTGTGTAAAAGGTGTACACAAAAAATATTACTTACGTTCTGTAATCTTATTTAAATGCGGGCTATCATGTATAGAGGAATCCCAGCTTGCTATTGCACACACATCTTTCTCTAAATGCGTTAGGATCTTCAGTTCATAAAACTCCTTCCCATTCTCTTTAGGGAGAATTGAATTAATGCCTGTAACTGTTACCTCCTCACCAGACGTATGTGTAGATAGATCGTCAGCTGGAAAAAACAATGTCAGTAAATAATACTCTAAAATACAAGACATTAAGTGGTTTTGATAAAAAAAAACGTAACATTGTAGACCTGCGTTAATAATACTCCAAATATCTACGCAACTGTTAAAAAATTCGAAACAATTTAAGAAAAAAAAAACGTTTTTATTTCACCACCTAAAAGAGAAATAATAAACAACGCAACTTACCATTGAGGTCCAAAAATAAAACAGGTATATGAGGTTCCATTTCTGGCGGAGGGCTCCACCTAGCAGGAGCCCCAGGAATACCAGTGCCAGGTTGTGGAATGTAAACAGCATTAGTCTCTTCTGTCAAGTTAACTAATTGCTCCATCAGACTTTTTTCTCTTTCAAGATCCTGCTCTGTCTTGTCAATTTTTTCAGACAAATTTTGTAACTGCGAGTGCAAATATTGCTTCCTTTTTTGTAAAGCATCGCTCCATTTTTCTCTAAGTATCATTAAATCCTCCTCTTGGTAGGAGTCTAAAGGTCGTTGTAGTCTATTTCTGACAATGACACCGCCCACTTCGATTTTAATTATTTGTTGACAGATGATGGGTAGAGTACCAGAGTTTTGAACGGGTTTGACTCGAACTTGTATGCGCCTTTGCTGACCCTGTCTTAGCTGGCATATGCCTCCTGTTAGCATGTCATTTTTTAATAAAACTTCAACAGGAGCATATTCTCCTAAGTCATTTAACTCTAGTATATCAACCCACAGTTCGATTTTTCTAGTAAGCTCAGACCATCGATCCAGAAGTGACCGAGCAGTAGCTAACTGTTGTTCAACTTCCCAACCAGGTTTGTACTTTGAAAAACCAGCACTTCTGTTACCCCACACCTCAATGGATAGTGCACCTTCTATTGGGAGAATAGAAATTTCAATAAATAATTACTATAAAATTGCCTCATTATATACCTGCACAATGTTCAATAAATTCTTCTGATAAATTTATAGTAAAAATTCTATCATCATCAAACCTAGCAGTAGTAGAATGTTTTTGATTATTCTCGCCAATGTTCTTGTCTGGTACTACAACTAATTCACTATTCCAAAAGGTGTACTGACAAAATACAAAATGTGATAAAGAAAGCGGCAATCCAGTGGCTTGTTTTATGTGAACTCTACATTTGATTGAGGTACTGACAGGTTCATCATCCTCGTGACTACATTCTGAAGAATTATCCGAAGCAGCTTCGCAAATTCTGTCCTGCGGTAACGTACCTTCAATCCTACTAAGTTCAACCTAAAATAAAAAAGCAATCAATATATAAAATTATATATTTTAATGCAAAGTTTACTTGTAATCTTCCAGCGACTTCTCCCTGTTGACTAATAATAGGCGTATGATAATCTAAAGCGACATCGTGAAATAAAACTTCTAAAAATATGTTTGCTACGCCAATGAGATTATGATTTTCTTGGGATTCGAAAAATGGGTCAGGACCTGCCGTTTCATCCAATTCCTAGAAAACTCAATATAGTAACTAGAAACAGCAATATTTTATGGAGTTACATTTACACTGTCACCTCGTTCTTTCTGGTCTTCAAATAGTTCTCGCATGTCAATAATTTTGTTTTCAAGTTTTTCCATCGACCACACTTGACTAGAATTACCGCGTTTGACTAAAATAGCTGGTTCACTAACAAAAGCTCCTTTCTGTAATAATTATAGTGTAAAATGATTTGTTTTATATATAGGGAAAAAAATCTTACTCTTCTATTTGGACTTAAATTGGCCGGTGGAATTTGAAGAGTAACACTGAATTTAGTCTGCCTTCCAATTTCCTCAGCCAAAAAATTCGCTTCTTGTACTAGAGAGTTTGCCCTTAGAATATCTTCTTTTAACTGTCCTATACTCCTCTTAAACATCTCGTCCCTTTCTTGAGCCCATTTCTCCACTCTCATTTGAGTAGTGGGAGTACACGGCGTTGTTTTACCCAGCCCTATTCGCAAAGGATCATATGAATAAGGCGGATAAGGAGTAGAAGGAGATACCATGTTTCTAAGTTGTTGAAATTGCCTTTCATATTCCATTCTTTGTTTCTCTAAAGCAACTGGAAGAAAAATATATTATGAAGAAATTATACCGGTTTGTCCTGTGACAAATCTCACCTTGTTTGTCCTCCTCATGTTGTTTTTCTAGTCTCTCAATAGCAGCTTGAATAGGATCATTACTCATTTCATTAGACATGAGTTCATCCCTCGCAAAATTATAATCTATATATTGAGCGGGTGTTTGAGGCTCAGACACGGCAGCTGGAACGTTATGGAAGATCAGGAATATATACAATATACAGGGTGGTCCGAACTGTATTCCGGAAACTCCGGCGCATATTCTGCAGATAAAAATAAGTAAAAAAGTTCGTATAAATGTATGTCCTAAAATGCTTAGTTTCGGAGATACAGGGTGTAGAAGTTTCATTTTTATTTCGATTTTTTCCAAATAATTTCTGAAGTAAAGTCAATATTTGAATGAAAATTGGTGTCTGGAAGTTTTTTGACACGAGAAATTTGATTTTGATGTCAATATGGCTCCTACTAGTAGAGGGCGCCACCTACATATTTTTTAACCGGTTTGAAGAGTAATAACTTTTCGTCCGTACCTGTATAAAACTACTGAGTAAAAAATATACATTTACGAGGTTTTTTACTTAAAAAAGGTTTCTTGGTAAAAATCGCTACGAGTAATGGTTTTCGAGATATTTGGAATCGAAATTATCAATACGTCATCATTGACATTAATTAAACATGTTGGCTAAATCGTTATTAGACTGAAATCATAAATATGAAATGTATTTGTGCCAAAAGTTCAACAGAAACTGTTTTATTATAATTTTTTTGCAGAAACATTAATGATTAATTTAAAAAAATAGAAATTTCCCAAATTTATTATTTCAGTGAAATAATAACTATCTACTCAACGTGTTTATTTTTAGTCAATAATGACATGTATTGACTATTTTCATTCTAAATATCTTAAGAACGGTTGCTCGTAGCGATTTTTACAAAGAGATATTTTTTACGTAAACAGTCATAGAGATGTATATTTTTTCACTCGGTAGTTTTATACAGGTACGGACAAAAAGTTATTACGCTTTAAAACAGTTAAAACACATGCAGGTGGCGCCCTCTACTAGTAAGAGTCATATTGACATCAAGATCAAATTTCTCATGTCAAAAAACTCCCAGACACCAATTTTCATCCAAATATTGACGTTACGTCAGAAATTATTTAGAAAAAATCGAAATAAAAATAAATGAAACTTGTATCTCTGAAACTAAGCATTTTAGGACCTAGATTTATACGAATTTTTTTACTTATTTTTATCTGCAGAATATGCTGCCGAAGTTTCCGGAATACATATTACCGGTAAAAAGTATCCGGAATACAATTCGGACCACCTTGTATATACAACAGGTTTTCTACCACATTACGCTCATCTGGTTGACATATTTTTTTTGTTTGTGATATAGAGAACACGGGGTGTCTGAGAATCTTGACTATTACGACACATTAGTGAATCTTTCAAACTTTAAATATTCGAATCGATACAAGAGTTATTAAAAATAAGGGCACACTATTATTATCTAACCAAACCAAACCAATCCAATCTATTATAGATAAATGTACCTAGATATTAGAAATGTGTGATTGTTGTTTCTCTAATTGTTTAAATGATCAAACACCTAAAATGGATTTACTTAAAAAATAGAGAAATAGAGTCATAAAACTAATTAGAAAATAGAGTCATAAATAAAGACTGACGTGTTCTGGTTTGACCTCATTGAATTATAAATTTTTCTTCCATATTCCACATTTTATCTATTAAATCTATTATTTTATAACAACTCTTATTATATATTCCCGAAGACTTGCTTAGGGCAATGTTAAGCAATGTTCTTTTTTGGTAATTAAAAAAATAAAAATATATTTGTTTTGGTTAAGTGTTATATACTGGATATTATTTATTGTAATAGTAACTTCAAAAACATACTTGGTTAGTCGGGATATCAAAATATCTTATTTATATGATAAATTTACTTCAGTCTAATAAAACTTTGTATAACTGATAGGTAGATCCCAACAGTTGTGAACTTATAGTCCAAAATTATTAATTTAATAAGCCCTAGGATAAATTCGTCAAAGCTTGAAGTTAAATCCTGAACCTATTTATAGATAGGGAAATAAACTTTTCTAAATTCGTTAGGTATTCAATAAATTTGGGCTAACATCTTATTAAGAATTATTGCAAACGACTTGGAGCCTGCAATTTTTCCTAAGTATTCGTCGATAGGTCATCTTCCCAGTGGAAGAAAATAAGTGTTTGCTTTTCTAATTTTCCATGTTAAAATTTCCACCATGTTACAATTTAAATATCCAGCCGGGGCGGCTTGTCCTATGAGGCAGATGAGGCAGTGCCTCACCAATACATTTGTTCTTTAATCACAATTTTATATTTTTTTCCCTATTTGCATCAATAATAATTGTATTTTTTATCCGTCATTCTACAATAAATTACGTCGATGGTATTCCTTTAAACGCGCTTCCTTTCCCATATGCGACAAACTCGACGATATATATATCCATCTCATTTGTTCTTTAAGAAGTATATGTACAGAGGTTTGCCTCTCGCCTTTCCTTGTCTAATGTATTGTGGTATATCGCATTGACGGAGCGACAGCGTTCACTGGAATCTTAAATCTATAGAATGAAAAGAAAAAGCATAGGCAAAACCTTTAGTTGAAGAGAGATAAAATGTATGGAGTAGTAGCGCGTAAAAAGACCGTTTTGAGGCGAGCCTCAAATGTAAATTTAAACCTTAAAAGCCGTTCGTTAAAAATATGTACCACTTCCCGATCAGTCCGAGAGATTTTAGGCGACAGGCTGAAAATGCAGAATTGTATTATTTGGGAATTTGTATTAGTTTGAATCACAGTTTGAATTAACTCTGCCGGTTATTGCACTGTTTTGTCTCTAATTAATTAATATATACGTTTTTTAATGTGAATTGCATGTTTAATTACTCGTCTTACTGATTACAACATATTAAGTAAATACCTAAAAATTGGGCAGTGACTTGTTGATTGATATGATGATTTAGAGGGACCATGCATCATCAGAGGACTTTCCCAGGCAAAGTTTTTCGAATTCGAATCATTTCTAGATAAATTGTGTACTCGTATAGTGAAAAAGTAAAGCAACCTGTTACAGAGATTTAATTTTGTTTTATTTTTATAGGATGGGTAGAAAAACAAAATTTTACCATACAGAGTAAAATATAAGACAAAATATCCTGAGGTCGCTTTGATAAAAATTTACTGTTGCAATAGCCCTATGTAATAGGTACCGTATGATCGAAAAAAAACGGCGTCCAGTTGGCTTGAAAATGACGATCGATGACATTTTCCATATAATTTTACATATAAAATGACAGCGATCTTCATTTCATAGCCATCGCTGACGCCGTTTTTATTCGATCATACGGTATAATACTGCGAATTATATTACATAAGGCTTAAGGCAACTGCTAAAAATTTAGAAATATTTTAAATACAAAAATGTGCGCTTTTTAAGTCTGTAGGCATCTAAAATACTAAAAATAATATACAGTGTGTATTGCATTTAAAAAAATTGAGATATAGCATTATAATATTGCAATGTTGGCCGTGCCATAAAAAAATCCCTGTATAAAAAATAATGTAAATTTTTCTCGGATTTCTTCTTTTGTTCTACATACCTCGCTATATACATACTTAAGCAATAATATATCAATAAGTTAAATTCACTCCAGGTTTTTACCGCTTTTTAAAAAATGAAAATGTTCAAATATGAATTATCATGGAAATCCCGCATATATAGTGTTTCAAATAAATCAATAGTGTGATGTATGCTGAATTCTATGCTGAACCCAATTCTGTACAGAAAAATGGTAATGCGATTGCAATTTTAAAGAAAATATTTTTTAGGATATGCACTTTTTTTATATAGAACTTTTTTTTCATATATTTGTCAACTACGAAGATATTATTGGACTTCCTCGTACTAATGGTCACCCTATATATATACTAATAAAAATTCTCTTCTAATGTGCCTCACCATCTTCCAGTGCTACGAGCCGCCCCTGATATCCAGTGTAAAAAATGACAATTTGTTCCTTATATAAATATAAGTAATAAAATAATTCTACAATGTGATATGCTAATAATGCTCATATCTGTCGAGAGCTTCCAGCACTTGGACAAAAGACAAGTCTAGGCTATGTAATAAAACGAAGCCGATTTTGAGAGGAATCTATATCTGTAAAAAGCTAATTCAATAATCCTCGTTTTAATGAAACAGATACCCGCATCCTTCGTCAACAAGAAGAGTCTGCTTAGTATTGTTTGATCTAGACACTAAATGATCTTCTGTCTTATATCATAAAAAAGAAACTTGTCTCATTGTAATACATTTTAATACTGTCAGATAACTTTTCACAATATAAACACTGCCTACCAGATGAATTCGGTTCATAAAGAATTAGAGAGATAAAAATAAAATGACTAAACTATGACTAAAGTTCCGCAGCAAAAAAAACATACTTACCGATCGACCTAGGGCAATTAATTCTAAAATAATGATGGTTTCCCCACACAATCCTGTCGCCATTTCTCAAAGAAGTTTTCTGTGTAACCTGCGACCCATTTACGCAAGACCTGGCATTGGCAAGAGGTTCAAGGAACAATCCATTCTCTTCAATCGTTATAATACAATGTTCTGGCTGGATACCAAGTCCGGATAGCTGTATATCCGGTTCAAAATCCGAGCCTGTCGTTTTCTGTCCGACTACCGTGCGCTCTTTTAAGTAATACACCAATAATTCGTTCAAATAAGGGTCGGCGTTTAAATTCACGAGGTAATATTTGTTCTTTTCGACCTTAATCCCCGAATCCTGTATGCTAATACCCATTTTTTCGAGCGCTTGCTGTCTCTCGTTTTGTATCCTTTCCGTTTTAATCAGTTTCTCTTCCCAGGTTTGAGAAACTTCTTTGAAAAGTTTCTCGCTTTCGCTCAACTTCTGATGGATATCCACTCGTTGTGTATCACCTACCGGTGATCCCTATATATTAAATTTAGAATATAAAAAGGAATAAAATTAACATTTCATATAATTTACACTGATATAAATAACAATGCCGTCCAAAGCGATAAAAATATTCACTCACCGGCACGAAAAACGGGTCCCTTAAAATTTTGATGTATTTCAAAGTTTTATAAATTGTGTTTTAGCGGACGGATTTTGATGTTCTTGTAAGCAATTTGTAGCTATATTATTTTACTTTTAATTATCTCTTTCTAAATTGAAAATGAAACACACTGTGGAATATTTTAAAAAGGCAAGAGATTTGAAAATCATTTTTTCGATAGTTTATTTTTTGGTTCATCTCAATAACTTTTTTTTGAAGATATTCGCTTTTAAAGAAGACACTAATATTTTTTCGTTATTTCTACATTAAACCCATGTCTTTGCAGTCAAGAGGCCTATTATATTATAGTGTTCATAATATGCTAGACGCTCAGGAAGCTTCGTATGAGAACTGCGAATCGAAACGATCGAATTATTGCAAGTTTATCGTTAAGAAACCGCCATTTGCCCGCTTTTTCAATTTGTAATGAATTGCACCTAAAGAACGTACCTACATGTAAGTGAACGGACAGTAAAAAGAATTCGTTTCGAAGGCCTGCTTCGGTTGTGGTCCCGAAGCAGTCCTTAGGCTGTTGACTAGGACCAAAAGCCAAGGCATGGTTTTAATGTAAAAATTACGAAAAAATGTTAGTTCCTTCTTCAAAAGCGAATATCTCGAACAAAAATAAAGCTATTGAGATGAACCAAAAAACATACTATGGAGAAAGGATGTACCTAGATAATAAAGAGATTTCTAAATTCCTTGCTTCCCTCGTATAATTGACATAAAATGAAATAAAAATATATTATAAAATGATTGAAAATATATTAAACTCGAAAATACATAAAAGTTTTAAGGTGCCAGTGAGTGTAGCTTTAGTACACTGTAGTTGATTTGTGTTATTTTTAAGTCATTGGTGAAATAACAGAGAAACAAAAAATTACCGTAGCATGCTTCAGCATCTCTTTCAAAGCTTCCACTTCAGCTCGCAACTCCCTAATGATTCTGGCATTCGGATCTTCATTGATAACAGCGTGATTAACTATCCGCTTCGCCCTGTCCGCATATCGCAAAGTAGACAAAGTCTCCTCGTAGTTATCTGCAGCCGGTGATAAGGTCGCTACCATTACAGTCCTACTGTTTCCACCGAGGTTGTCCTTCAGCAACCAAGTTAATACCGAGTCTCTGTAAGGTACGAACTTATCCTTCTGTTTACCAGAGGACTGGTCGGCAAGCTTGGATATAACCAGGCCAAGGGTGGTCAGAGATTTGTTTATGTTTGATCCTTCCTTGAGGCGATCTCCCACAGCGCCAGTTTTCACAGCTCTTTCTGAGCCAGCCAAGTCGACCAGCGACATTCGACTGACTTTTTCACCGCTTACACCGCTTTTCGTGTCTGTCAGTGTTTGTGTAAGGATTACGGTGAATACCGCATGAGATCGTGAGGATTCGCTGTTCATGTTTGTCGCCGCTACTGTTCTTGATTTGTTACCTTCTGCCATTAAATTGTCGATATCCTGAAATATTTAATGGAAATCTGTTATGCTGAAACGAATATGATAGGAACTACGAGACCAGGGCCCGTATTCTGTAACTTTAAAAACGCTAAGCGCTTTTAGACGCTCAGCGTATATGACGTTAATTTTCGCTAAGCCCGCACTTAATTAACGATTTCGGTATTCTCGTCTGACACGCTTAGCGTCTTTATTGATTGCGCTGACCGCTTTGAAAACGGTTGCCTTAACGGATCATTTTGTTTGTCGAACTGTCAGTGAAAATCGAAAAAATTGTGATTTTCTCCGTTATCCTCTTTAGTGAAAATTACTAATTCTTCTATAAATTCCTAATAAGTAATTGATAATTTACGACTTGGCAGCTATAAATATTGTTCAAAACATCGAAAATGCTGAGAAGCGTCTTCAACACATCCTTCGTATAATAAGAATAATGACATATCCATAGAAAAATAGCTTGACATAACTCAACAATAGGTTATGAAGTTCACGTAACAATAGCTTTTTTCGGGTTCTTGTTATTACCGATTCTGAGCCGTCCTAGAACTCTGCAGCGCATGCGCAAATGAAATAATGTCTTCATATTTCCTTCTGCGCATACGCATCACAGTTCTAGGACAGTTCAGAATCGGTAATAACAAGAACCCGAACAAAGCTATTGACATTTTTCATTGTTACATCCGTCAGTTATCAACTTTTGACTATTATCTACATTAGAAATTGTGATGTTGCCACTATATGTGCTCAACGCGTATCCAGAACACGATTCGCATGGCAACGAGAATACCAAAATCGACTGCCTTGCGTTTCGCTGATCGAAAATTTGCGCTCACCGCTTTGAAAGTTTTTATGTCAAAGTTACAGAATTCGGGTCCTGGACAATCGTTACAATCAAATTTAATTTTTTTTAATACCCTAAACACACATTGGACATCACATTGGTTCCGTGTTGAGAAACTAGACATAGTGCCAGAATAACTGTAGCACATAAAGTAAACAAGTTCGTATAAATGTATGTCCTAAAATGCTTAGTTTCGGAGATACAGGGTGTAGAAGTTTCATTTTTATTTCGATTTTTTCCAAATAATTTCTGAAGTAACGTCAATGTTTGGATGAAAATTGGTGTCTGGGAGTTCTTTGACATGAGAAATTTGATTTTATGTCAATATGACTCTTATTTGTAGGGGGCGCCACCTACATGGGCTTTAACTGTTTTGAAGAGTAATATCTTTTCTTCCATACCTGTATAAAACTAGTGATTGAAAAAATATACATTTTCGTTATTTTTTACGTAAAAAAGGAGTCTTTGTAAAAATGGCTACGAGCAACCGTTTTCAAGATATTTAGAATGGAAATAGTCAATATATGCCATTATTTACAAAAAATAAACATGTTGAGTAGAAAGTTATTTGACTGAAATGGTAAATTTGGGAACTTTTAATTAATCCCAAAATTTTCTTCGAAAAAATTATGATAAAGCAGTTTCTGTTGAACTTTTAGAACAAAACCATTTCAAATTTATTATTTTAGTCTAATAACTATTTAGTGTCAACATGTTTAATTCATGTCAATGATGATCACGTATTGATTGTTTCGATTCCAAATATTTTGAGAACCATTACCCGCGGCGATTTTTATCAAGTGTGTATATTTTTTACTAATTAGTTTTATATAGGTACGGACGAAAAATTATTACTCTTCAAAGCGGTTAAAAAATATGAAGGTGGTGTCCACTACAAGTAGGAATCATGATGACATCCAAATCAAATTTTCATCCCAATATGGACGTTAGTTCAGGAATTATTTAGAAAATATCGAAATAAAAATGAAATTTCTACACTCTGTATCTCCGAAACTAAGCATTTTAGCTCATGAAATTATTAGAACTTTTTCGTCTATTTTTATCTGCGGAATATGCTACCGAAGTCGAAAAGGAAGCTTTAAATCTTACAAGTTGATATGAACTTTTTGTTTTATTTTTGCAAGTTCTATCGTCTATTAAATTTTCCCGATTAAAATCTGAGACACCCTGTATAATAGGTTTAATTAAAATATAGAATAAAATACATAAGCCGTTTTATTTTTATGTAAAAATTTGAATTATAATTTGTTTGTCCGCCTTCAGGATATTCTAGAATTATTTCTCTTCATCCGATAAAATTTTAAGTTCAATACTAATAAAATTTCATTACATTTTTACAATCAATATATTTTTTGGAAATATCGTTTATTTAAAAATAGCCCGATTTACAATGTCTGATAAATTCCTTAATAGTCTGGTCTAGAATTAATTAAACTGGCATTTCATTAACATCAAAAATTTATTAAGATTTCACTCAGTACATTTCAATTATGTTTAAATTATGTTATTCTACAATTTATATTTTTATATTTATAAATATCTTGAGAGGACCAATTTAGGAAACTTTCACCGAAAAATATCTAAATGTAAATAAACATTAACATACTTTTTCTTAAATTCATATAATTAGAAAGACGAGTGAGGTGAATAATTAAAAATTGTTCTAAAAACTCACCAGAAATGACGTGACTGCTAATTGGGACAAACCATCTACATAAGGACCCAACACATTGTGCTCTCTTACTTTCAGTGACTGTTTGTTGGTTTGAGGATCTAACAAGTCGTGTACCTATTAAAATTATAATAAATCATCTCATTATTTATGAGAATAACGACGATAATTTACCCGTTCATTATAGATTTCCATATAACTAACTTCAACTTTATAAGACAACTCAGAATTTTGTCTTTCGGCTATTAAGCCGAATAATGTGTCACATAGCCTTGGTATAATGCCCTTGCTGTCTTGCGATCCCATCATAGTATACGACTTGCCCGATCCTGAAATAGTAAAGGATTATTATTATACATACAGGGTGGCCCCTCTCATACGCCGCGGAGGCTCCAAGGAGAAGGACAGTTTGTATTGAAATGAAATTTTGTGAGCATATGTAGGTTAATTCAGGGCACTTTTTAAAAATATAGAGAGTTCTACAGGGTGTCCCCAAAAAAAGTTACATATCAAAGTTGTGTTTTTTGTAATGGAACACCCTATATATTAATTGATTTTCGGATTCTAGGAGAAAAATAAAGGTGAGTTTTATAAGAGAAGTATATGACTAAAATGTAGGTTTTTGACATATTTAACATTTTCTAGAAATAAAGAACAATTTCTAAATTACAATAAAAGCTACCTAAATTGGAATTTACCCGGTGTAGCCTAATATGTAGTTAAACTAACTATTCTACTTTAAATCAAATTAATACTTGATCCAAAAAGTTATACAGGGTGAGACAAAATTAATATTGAACATTGGTCACCTTTAAAAGCATGTTACTCTCTTATTTTAAATGGAACACCCAGTATATTATTCCGATATTTAAAGGAGAATTCCTGTCTCTTCAAAATACTATTAAGGTTGCCTAAAGATTTTCCTAGATATTTTCATTTACATGATTTGATCTGAGTAGATCTTTATTATTTGATAAAACCTAGGTGGCTGTGATATGTCTGACTTACGTTACTTCAACATAGCTGTCTAATTAGTTCAACTTTAATAACTAGTTATAATTTTTTGTCAGTTAAAACAAAAAAAAATTCTCAGGAATTTGCCGAAAATGCAAACTTATCCTACATCAGAGAGAATTGATATGATTCTATTAGTTGGTGAATGCAGTGTGCATTCACCAATTAATAGAATAGTTAAATGCTCCTGATTTTATCTAGTCTGGGTTTTTTATGGGGATATGTTAAAGACAGTGTTTAAAAAACTCGACCAACTAGTGTCGACAGCATGAGATAAATTAATGTAGCTGCATTTTCCGGTAAAACTCCATATATGCCTTTTAAAATGAAAAGATCCTTTTGAAAAGACAATCATTTTATGCAGATAACAGTAAAGGAAGCATTTTGAGCATTTGATTTCATCCAGCTAATTTTTGTCGCATAATTATAGGTTTATATCTAGTTTTAATTCTGTAATAATTATAATATGTTTTAAACGTGTATTTTTTTATTACTCTTGAGTATTTTACTCCACAATCTTTAATTTTTGTTAAATTAATAAAAGGTATATCACACAGCCACCTAGATTTGTTCAAATAATAAAGATTTACTGACGTAAAATCATAAAAATTAAAATATCTGGGAAAATCTTTGTCTGAGGGGTAGGCAACCTTAATAATTTTTTGAAGATATATAAATTCCCCATTGAACACCGGAAAACTATACTGGGTGTTCCATTTAAAATAAAGAAGTAACTTGCTTTTAAAAGTACTAATGTTCCATATTAATTTTGTCTCACCCTGTATAACCTTTCCGGTTAAATTTCAATTTGGTTTAACTTACAATGGTTACTGTAATTAAATATCAGGCTATACAAGGTCAACTAAAATTTAGGTAGCTGTTATCGAAATTTAAAATTTACTCCTTATTTTCACAAAATGTGAAATATGTCAAAATCCTTAGATTTTAGGTATATGCTTCTTTAATAAAACTCACCTTTATTTTTTTCCTAGAATCCGAAAATCAATTAATATATAGGGTGTTCCATTAAAAAAAACACAACTTTGATGTGTAACTTTTTTTGGGGACACCTTGTATAATTCTATATTTTTTTATAAAATGCTTTTAGTTAACCTACATATGCTGCCAAAATTTCATTTCGATATAAACTACCGTTCTCCTTGGAGCTTCCGCGGCGTATGAGAGGCGCCACCCTGTATATAGCGGGTGTTTGTCAAAAGTGGCTCACCCCTATAATTTTTTTATTTTTATCCGATAAAAAAACAAGATTTGTTATGTTCGTAAATGAAATAAATCGGGACTGACTGGCCTATTCAGATACTTTTGGACACTTGCTGTTTCAACGGAAATGACTATAACTTTTGAATTTTAAACGGTATCCTAGGTATATCTATTTACTTTATTTGATAGAAAATGACACTCTGAATAGAATGACATATATGTCAACTTTTGACATTCACGCTTAGAAAAAATCATATTTTAAATTTCAATCTAGAGTGCCTAAATTTTAATCAAGGAGCCTCGAAAAAATAGATTTGATCGTCTAATGTTTTTGGTGTCTTGTCCTGGCCGGTTAAAATATACCCAAATCGTATTTTTAATCATATCTCAATTTTTTCAACTGGAACAAGGGTGGCTTATTAGCATTTTTTATTTGCTTATTTCATTATTTCCTGTGAAACAGGAAGTGATGAATACATCAATCAATCCTAATTTATGTCATATATACTAACATACCAAATCTCGTTTTTTATCAGAAAAAATAAAAAAGTTATAAAAAAATTTAAATACAGATACCAGAAAAAATACTAAAACTAAAATTTTTTTCTAATTTTACATCAAGAAACAAAAAAAATAAGTACAAAAAACAACGTCTTATTTACTAAGAAAAACAAATATGCTTGTGTATGCCCAAGGGAACATCTAATAAAGAATTATTTTGGTAAAATAATGATTTCAGGTAACATCAAAAAACAAGAAATATTTTTTCCTGTAGAGAAAATTATAACTGAGGATAGGATACAATATTTAGATATTCAATAAACAATTTATTTGTTATTTGAAACTTGCTTGTTGGTTTGACAAATTACAGTAGCTAATAATGGCATACAATATCAACTAAAATGGCATAGTAGAAAGCATAGCAAAATTTCTTTATATACAAAATATACCGAGTGATATTATTCGAGCATGAACAGTAACTTGATAATTATATAAAAGAAAATTGTATTGCATATGCCCTGGCTCCTTATATAGGTAAAATATATTCCTTAAAAAACTATATCGCCAAATAAAGCTGAAAGGCATAGTTGCTCTTCTAAAAGGCATTACCACATAAAACGTATATTACAAACTTCGATTACAGATGTTTCAGTCCATAGATGTTTTATTTACAAAGTTTTTGTGCAATTTGATGAATTATTGATCCACTTCACATCAGTTGCGTGTTCATTAGTTTCAGTCACACCCTTCATTTTAATCCTAGCTGTAGGACATAATATCTAATATTGTTTTAGTAATTACAACATATTTCCTTCCTACAGGTTATTTTCCGTTCCATACAACTAATATAAAAAGTAAATACAACTCTAGACAATAAACCATTTGTTGCACATTCTATGGTAAATTTAAAATTCAGTTTAAAAAAATTAACTTGTATTACGTAATTCTCTCAATTTATTTTAAAATACAAATAAAGATTTTCATTTAAAAAAATACAACAGTTATCTTATTAACAACAATTGTCACCGATAAAATATCTATAGTAAAGGATTAACCATTAATATAAAAATAAAAACTTTACATTCCACAGCACACAGATATGCTCTCTCTCTCATTATCAGGAACAATTTATTAAGTGACATATGTATGTAACTGTGTCATAAGAGAAACGCCCTATAAAAAACTTAAGTAATATTACTACCAACGTTACTACCTTATCTGTATTTTTGTTTTTATTTAGTTTTATGTTAATTACTGTAGTCCGTTGCAGATAAGAAACCCTTTTAGTACACATAATATTTGCAAAATGCAAAAAATATGACTAATTATACAGTTGTTGATAAATATTGTTGTTTAATTAAATACGTCAATCACCCAGTAAATTAACAATGTCTTTATTGTACAAGAACTACTAGAACAAAATATGATTTTTTACCATAATAAATTTTGTTATTCTGTGTTGTGATTCTACAGACTTGGTGCATTCTCCGCCGGTGCTGTCACCATCGGAGAAAATCGTAAACAACTAGTATATACAAATACACGAGTTTAAATAGCGAGTATACGAAAATTTTATTATATAATTATTCTAAAAGTGTTAGGAAGTATAAAAGTAAATATTATGATATATTCAGAAGGTCTAACTTCTTCTTTCGGCCGTACCTCTATTAAAAGTATTAAAAAATATACATTTCAGCCATTTTTTACGTAAAAAATCCCTTGGTAAACATCGCTATGTGTAATGGTTCTCGAGATATTTGGAATCGAAATAATAAATACAGTTGTACAAATATAGGAGGAGACTTGGGGATAGCACCGGTCGCGTGTTATTTTATATTTCTCACGTCTCTAGCTATACTTGTTAAGTTGTACATGTCATCATTGACCAAAATTGAACTTGTTGAGTAGATATTTTAGACTGAAATCATAAATTTAAAATATTTTTGTGCCTAAAAGTTCAACAGAAACTATTTAAAAAAAAGTTCCAAGATTTATCATTTTGAATTTAATTGATTATTTTTGTCAAAGATGACATGAATGTACCTATAAATTTTCATTCGAAATATTATACATGTTGAGTTAGTCGTAGCGTTTTTTACCTAGGGGCATTTTTTTACGTAAAAAACGGACGAAATGTATATTTTTTCACTCAGTGGTTTTATACAGTTATAACCGAAAAGTTACTAGCCTCCAATCCAGTTAAAAAATTTCTCGTATTAAAAAACACCAAGACGCCAATTTTCATTCAAATATTTACATTAGTTCAGAAATTATTTGAAAAATATCGAAATAAATGAAATTTCTACACCCTGTATCTGCGAAATGAAGCCATTTTAGGACGTAAATTTATATGATTTTTTTTACTTATTTTTATCGGTAGAATATGCTGCCGAAGTTTCACGAATACCACCCTGTATGTGCATGAGAAGATAAAATAATGCATAAAGGTACATAATAAACTTATCATTTTAGAAGTACACACGATGTTTGCTTTTATGCGGATTGTATATAGCGAGATTATCGTTATATTCTATTTTATTTTACGTTTCCGTTTTATACTGAACAAAAGAAAAAAAACATTCATAAGTTATGG